TATGTTGCAACATCTATTAGCTAGATTTATTTTGTACTGCAAAACCTGTTTGTACCTTGGTAAATATAAACGTTAGAGAAATTGCGATGTCTTTAATTTCCCCGAGAAGATTTACTATCCCGGATATAAATCAATCTACCAAATTAGGATCTTTCACGCCTCATAAATACATTTAATACTTTCTTTAAATTCTTTCTTACAATTGAGTAAGAGTAACCGCAAAGTTGATTGCAAAGGCGATTCATATATCATATATTCATAAAAAATACTTATTTCTCATGATATAAAAATATATCTAACTTTCAGTTTTATGGAAACATTCGATTCAACGATATTAAAATGTTCGTACAGTTTTCTCAATAAACAACAACTGTCTTATAAACTCGCGGATTTGCATATGGGTATATGGAGAAATGCTTCGCCACTTGAAATCAGACCAAGTTGCAATTATACTATTGCAATTGATCGGCCTTTCACCAATTTTCTCTTCTCTTTCAGCAATTCTTATTTGCTTGGAGATGTGAAGTTAATGCAAGACTTCTGTAGGAAAATGATGTGCTGCGGTAAAATAATAGACCGCCAAGTCAATTTACGAGATTTATGAATCTGCTGTGTGCAGTAGACGAGAGAAGAAGGGAGATAATTATAGCGAACTCGTAAAAAATGCGATAATATGCAGCATTTCGCTTAGTTACGACCGCTGACGTTCGCAAAACAAAAACGCATATCAAGATTACTTTGTAAATTGAATTTGCGCAGTTTATTACATGTTTTACTAGTAAAATTCTCTCTCTCTCTCTTATTTATTTATCTATCTGTGTTTGTCTTCATCGTCAATTTCGTAATATATTGAAAAAACAATTGACAAATTTCTATGTTTCAGTTCGCAACCATGGAGGAAAAAATAACGAAGTCGGAAATACAATCCTTCTTCACAGGCAAAACCATCTTTATCACTGGTGCTTCCGGTTTCATGGGTAAAGTTCTCTTGGAGAAATTGCTGTATCACTGTTCCGATCTTGACAATATCTACGTTCTCATGCGAACCAAGAGAGGCCGCAGTGTCGAAACTCGGCTCGACGACATGTTCAAATTGCCTGTAAGAAACCACGGAAATTATGCTACCTTATTTTTCTTTAGTTTAACAAAGTAATATTACGCAAAATAATGTAGCACCCTGAATTCTCACGAAACACTGTATGCATCTGTTTAGGCTTAATTAATGCAATTTATTTTTATATTTCATTATTGATTATGTTATTTACAGTTAATTCATAATAATACGCAAAAATATTATTGAGAAACTCATTCTGGGAAAAATAAAGACGGTTATAATCCACTTTGGGACCCACGATTACGCGTAACTAAAAATCGTAATTAGCTCCATTTATTTCAAAGATTTTTAAGTTATTCAGTTTTACGCAAAGATAATTTTTATTTAAGAGGCATTAACCAAAATGTTTTAATTAGGGTTACAATATCCAAATAATTTGATTACTATGATCGTGGGCCTCAAAGTGGGTTATAATTTTTCTCAGAGCACGGTTGAACAGAAAGATATATGTATTATATATATAAGGAATGTTTTACCAAGCACATCATTCAATTTTATGAGATTTAGCTATTAATATATTCTTCTCAATTGTAATAAAATTTTTACTTCAAAAAATACTATTGTGTTACAAGAATTTCAAAAATACTGTCATATTGTAAGGAATTTAATCGCACAGTATATACGAAGAACTTTGAACGTACGACAAAAATTATTCATAAATCTGTTTTGGATAAATATTTGAAAGACTCTTCAAGCTACGATATAGCTTGAAATCAAATGGCAGTATATAGATATGTGGAGGGGTAAAAACCAAACTGGTATAAGTCAAATTTTTTTAAATATTTGACTTACTTTTTTACTCCTTTATATAATACATAATATATACATATGTGCGAAAGATTTTAGTAATAATTACTAATAATTGATATTTTTACAGCTGTTTCAAAGACTGCGGAATGAGAAACCTCAGCTTTTTAAAAAAGTGATATCACTGAATGGCGACGTATGTTTGCCCAATTTAGGCCTTACTGATGGACAGCGTGAACTTTTAATAAACGAGGTACACGTGGTATTCCATTTCGCCGCGACACTTCGATTGGAAGCGAAATTGAAAGATGCCATCGAAATGAACACGGTAAAATATCAATCGCCACGAAGGAATCTCAAATCTCAATCAAGCTTTATTTCTTGTATTGCATCGTGTGTTTCGTGTGTTATTGGTGTTAATATCAAATATGCTACGCATGGCTATATTATTGTGTACGATCATCTTTAAACTCTATGTTTACGCGATATTTTATAACTATAGACACTACAAAGCGCGGCCTTCGCACGGGCCATTTATTCTCGACTATTATATTTACTTATTCACGCATCAAGATAACCAAAATCAATCTATAACAACCTGTCACTTATTAGTTGTCAAAACACGATTCTCGCGCTGACAGTTAAGATATATCCAAGATATATCTTTTAAACCTAATTCTATGCGTTACTAATTCTAGGCTAATACTTTTGATAATATGTAAAATATGATAATATGTTGAAATAATCTTTCAGACAGGTACAAAAAAAATACTGGACCTGGCAAAAGAAATGAAGCATCTAAAATCCTTCGTGCATTTAAGCACGGCCTTCTGTCACGTCGACCAAGAGGAACTCGGTGAGCGTACCTACGACTCGTCCGATGATCCTCAAGATATCATGAGGCTTGTTCAGTGGTTAGACGACGAGAGTATCGATCTTATTACGCCCAAGTAATTAAACTTGACGTTATTAATGATATTCGGCCTATTAATAATAAGCGTGTCCGACGGGTACACTTCACTAATATTAATTATAATATTAATTAATTAATAATGACTGCATGTAATTATATAAGTTATTATATTAAAAATATCTAAAATTATACATATTAAATACAAAATAAATACATATATTAGTATTATTAGTGCATATATGTATAGTGCATGTATGTGATTTCTTTCGGTCAATTGACTGCTTAATTAAAATTAAAATTAACCTAATTAAATTATTTTTTTATATTTATAAAAGATGTAAATATAAAATTATACATATCCAGTTTCTCATTTATAGATTACTGCATCCGCATCCAAATACTTACACGTATTCGAAACGTTTGGCTGAAACACTGGTGACCAACGAATACCCCAATTTACCTTGCTGCATCGCTAGACCATCGATCGGTAATTATCAAACATATTTTAATAATTATCAGAGATTATAAAATATCTCGACCATTGCCAGTGAAAGAGAATAAAAATTAATTCATTTTTTTTTGCACAGTAATACCTAGTTATGCGGAACCGATGCCAGGGTGGGTCGACAATTTGAACGGACCAACAGGCTTGCTCATCGGTGCGGGCAAAGGTGTCATCAGATCAATGCATTGCAACGGTAATTATCATGCCGAAGTTGTACCAGTCGATCTCGCAATTAATGCTGTAATTGGGATTGCATACAAACTTGCTACCGACCTGTTGAAGTAAGTATAGTTTCGTTCTGCCCTATATTGTTTTCTTCCTTAATAATAAAACATGATACAATTAATAATAATAAATTAAAGTGAATTCACCGCCTATATTTATCAAATCTGGACTATTTCGCTGATGTAATTGTCTTCCTGTCTATATTTAATATATAAATTATAAATAGTTATTTTCTGGAAGATATTTAAACAGAAATTATAATAAGAAATTTTAAGTAAAAAGAATTTTTAAAATCTAAATTTTTCTGTTAAACTTATTTAATTAAATTAATTAAAAAATACTGACTTATTGTAGCTTATAGATTGTTTGACATTAAATAGTATAATCATAGGTTTTTGATACGTTTTCTACATATAGACGTCGTCTGTTTTACGAGAGAATCCAGGCAGACTTTTACTATCCCAAAATTGTTGTAAATAAAATATAATACGCCGAAGTAGAATAAATATACCGCTGTAATATGGACAACGCACATTCTGAAACACAAAACATTTATTAATTGAAATAGGTGATTGAAAATTGATTTGTGATTTTGCACAATTATTTTGTTTATATGTAATAGAGAAATATTTTTATGTATTAGAGAAATATCTTTATTATATTTTTTTCTGTTCAGACACAGAAATATTTTGAATTCTTACATATTTATTACACATTTGCTTTTTTATATCTATTATTTACAGATCGAAAACTATACCCGTATTCAATATAACGCAAGGCAATGTGAGACCGATCACATGGGCAGAAATATTAGAAAAGGGCAGAAATGCTCTTCATGCATATCCTTTCGAGGGACAAATTTGGTATCCAGACGGCGATATACGTAGTAGCAAATTTGTGCACAATCTTTTCGTCTTCTTCTTTCATATTATCCCTGCATATTTGATTGACTTTCTGATGTTAATATTTCGACAGAAAAGATTGTAAGTTTTATACTTCTTGAGATTTTTTTAAATATCATTTGGAAATTATATTTTCTCATTTCAATATGTATCTATTGTATAATATATTTTTAAATAATATTATTAGAACTATTTAAAAATCTTGCTTCTTAGCTTTTATTTCTATTTTTTATTTTTATTTTTATAAACAGTATGGTCAGAATCCAAAAGCGAATCTCAGATGGCCTCGAGGTGTTGCAATATTTTACTACAAGGGAGTGGATATTTTATAACGATAAAATCATTAAAATGAACCACGAATTATCGAAAGCAGACAAGGAAATATTTCGAATTATTATTAACGATATTGATATAAATGAGTACCTCAAAAACATTGTCCTTGGCGCACGGCAGTATTGTATGAAAGAGGATCTGTCTACTCTGCCGAAAGCTCGTCGGCATCAAAAAATGTGAGTATTATTTACGTAGATTGTATAATGTTTTCATGCAATTGAAAAATACGATTCCGTCAAATTTGTTCAGTCACTTTTTCCAGAAACTTTTGTAAAGGCGCAAATGTTTGAGTGTTTCAATAAGCAGAAGAGAAAGAAATGAGAACACAATGTATATTTTTATGCTAATAAAAAATTTCATGTATTCATTTTTTCTTCCCATTCTTGGAAAGTAACAATTGTACATTCCTAAGAGAAACTGAACACTTTCTATTACGTAGAAAGATATTTATTCATATAACAGAAGAGATGGCTAATAAGAGAAACTTAACGATGTTTAAACTTGTCACTTGTTCAAATGAATACATTTTCTTTCTTACGCTATTTGATGTGCATTTCCGTTTTGCATTCTACATATCAATAATTACATAGTACACTATATAATTACGGATTTAGATCTTGCTTAATTTTTCTGAACAATTAAGAACATGATTTTAAATTCTCAAAATTAAAGCAAAAGGTATAAACTAAATTAAATCAATTAATATTATTAATAAATTAATATACATATTAAATTAGTATAACCAAATTTATTCTAAGTTTACATTAAAATTAAACTAATTTAAATTTTAAGATTTATTTTTAAATTTTCAATCACCTATTTCAATTATGTCAAACTCGATGCTGTAAAACTCATCGTATTTTATAACAAACGTTTTGTGTTTCAGAATGTACGTTGTCCATGTTACAGCAGTATATTTATTCTACTTTGGCTTATTATATTTTATTTACAACAATGTTGGGATAGTAAAAGTCTGCCTGGATTCTCTCACCGACGTAATAAAATCACTACCGGTCGTAGGCGGATTACTAACGAAGATGCATCTCTAAGAACGTACTTATACACATTCGACGTTTATTGCGTTATACACATATGGAATTCGACGAGTCGACGAGGAATGGTTAGTGCCTCTGACGATGTTCTATATTGCGTCTCTCATTTGAACCGCTTGTAATTCCGGGCATAAATTATGAGGTGGAAGGCAATTTCAACATACCGTCCATATAGAAATATTGTTGATATTAGCTATAAATTCAATATACTTAGAGACTAGATCGTATCGCAGGTGTTTGTAAAAACTAACTATCTAAATCAGTTTTAAACTCTCAATCAAAACGTAAGCTTTTAGGAAATTTCGATAGAATGACACGTAATATAAGATACGTAATGTAAAATACGTAATGTAAGGTAGGTAATGTAAGTGCTTTTCTGTAGTGTAATGTATAGATTTTATTGAAAAATATCGCTACATTGTTCGATACATATGTACAAGCATATTTAATGGAATAAAGGTTTATATGCGCATAAAAATATTATTTGAAAATAAAAGATTTATTATGCATTAATACCAGCTCATTGTTATAGCAAAAAAGTCCACTAAAACCAGCCGAATAATTTATCATATGCATTATTAATCATTTAAACCTGCAAATAAAAATATGCATTTTTATGAATTTTTACTTAAAAAAAAGCTTTATTTTTAATTATGCTTATTGCTATTCTGACAAATTTAACAAAAGTCGCAGTGTTCTGCTCGATGACATTTAAAATCGACAATATTAGTTAATTTTATCACCCATTGTTATATTTTTTATTAAATTTATTATAAATTTTATAATTCCATTTATTCTATATACCGTGTATTTTCTGATGTATTCACGTTTTCATACATCTGTATAAAATATCTTAATTTGTAAACATTTTGTACAATGCAAAAGATGACAAAAAGAATTTAGGTCGTCTAAGATGGATTTTATAAAAAATTGAAACCTTATGGCCTTCGTTTCTTAAAGAAGATAGCAAAAATGTGTCAAGTATCGCATAATAAAATAACTCTCCCTTCTTTATAGCCAGCACTTTCGGACAAACCTGTTTTTGTCGATAGATTTGGCACGAGCGTGAATTGTGACGATGATGTAGCTAGATTTTCTGAGCTCTGTATCGGAGCACAAGAATTCATCCAATTTCCCGAGTATAACTTCCGTGCGGGACCTCTGATGACCTCAATCGATGCTCTTCTCAGGGTACAAAGGGGTGTCCCAATATAGCTTCGCTGTTACATACAGTTGCTCCTGCGTATTTGTATAGGATTTTGTAAACCGTATCATGAAGCGAAAGCGAGATAATTAACAATAATCTGTATAGTAGTTATAATTTTCACAGTTGAGGTGATATTGACCGCTCGGCTAATTTTTGTTCTTTAACTTATTACGTACATGAATACTCTAACGCGCTTATACGTTCATTTTAATTGTTATTTATCCAGTTTAAGACTTTAATGTTTACTTCTAGCAATGCATAATTTTAATCTTAACTTATTTTTCATCTTTTTCTAGTCCTAAGAGTTAGAAGAGAGTTAGTAAGTTAAACCGAGATTATAAGTTAATCTACATTGATAAATATAGACATAAAACTTGTAGTTATTACTCCAAGCAGAAAATGTGGAATCTGCAGATAAGATACTTGTGTGAGAAAAGAATAAATAGCCTGGCGCATATTGCTATATCATTCATTCCTATCTATTTTGCTCCACAGAATGTGTCCGTAGTGTGTATCTCGTGTTCTCTTTTACAATAAATTATATTTGTACGACTTCCTTTATTAATTTATGTCAGTTAAAGTGAGCTAAGAGATATATATAAACTTGCTCACATATAAAGAGCGTGTTTAAAACAAGTAATTAATCTTGTTATGTTTTTTGATTTAAGAATAGTTATACGTTATCTAATTTGCTTTAGCAAATTTAATTCGTATTACCGTGTTGAAAATGAAAATTTACTCATCATGTGAATTTACGTGATAAACATTTCAAGAAAAAATTACAGAAATTACAGAAGAGAAAAGATTTGTCCGATAAATTTTGCAAAACCGCGAAATGAGGAAAAAAAACGTTCTATTCTCTTCTAGGCAATTTTGTTGATAAAAAATTTAACTTATTTAGAAAAATACAAACTCATTATTTAGACAAATGCCTGTTTTTTTTTTACTAAGTGGATATTCTTTTCCTTTGACAGACATTAATTATATTGTTATAATTGAAAATGTTATTGATGTTAAAAGTCATTAATGTTTAATTATTATTTAAAGCTGTTTTAAATATACATATATAATATTTCAAAATTATTTTAAAGCTGTTATTATATTTAAATATTTAATTATTATCATTAAAGTTGCGTCTCAAGTATTTTACATTTAACCGACTGTAATCCATATGAGCCGAACGCGTCGCAGCATCATCCGCGTCATTGAATGTTGATTAATCTTGGCAAAAAGTAATCAAATCGCGTTGCAATGGGAAACATAATCTATGCAGGATTTAAAGCTTAATTGCGGAGCAAGAGGGGGAGGATAAAGCAACAGTTGTAAGTTCCGCATAATATGGTGGGATGGCGCTGAGAAATCCCAGTCAACCCCCATTCCATTATTGATCCACCCCTGTGCGTTCCATTCGGAAAACAGCCCACTAGCCGTCGGTCGACGTGCGGCGCGAGAGCTGTCCCTCTTCTGCTCCAATCTTACTTTGTCGTGACCCTCTATAGCACAATTAAAATTGCATTTGGAGTTGTGCAGGCACGGGTGGCCGTGAGTTATGGGAGAGTATTATCTACGAACTTTTCTCCATTTGTTAAACTTCCTCACGCACCTACCATCTAAAAGCAAATGCGGCGGTTTTCCCCCGCGATCTCGCGATTCTGACTAACAGATTTTATACGAGATGCCGACGTCAGCTTTTATACATCCCCTCGTGTACGAAATCTCTTGAATAAATCGTAGAAACGTTCACGTCGCAGTAGACACACGCGCACGTAGTAGACACGAACAAAAGGAGCGTAATTGGACACCTGTTATAAATGTAACAAAGTTATTTCAAGAAGAATTATGATTTTGTAATTAAGAGCCCGTGCAAAATGCAGGTATTTGTAGTGATAATTAATAAAGTAAAGAATTATTTAGCACGAAAGGAATATAAAAAGATCGAAAAAGCGAGTTACAGAATGTGAGAATTTTTAAGTAAAAACGTTAAGAAAGAAACAGTAAATTTCTAAGACAATTTCTATGTTCGAAAGATGAAGAGGCTTTCTTATTCTTGAAGCAATTATATGTTGTTTGAGAAGCATCAAAGAGACCGAGTACTATCATATTCAAATTTAAAAGTCAAAGAAGATTGAAAGTCTATCTAGAGAGCGTTGAAGAATCGAGATTACCGGAGTGAATATTTCAGAGTCCAGGGATCCTCCGAGCGTATGAAAATTAGAACGCTCAAGAGTGAAGAGAATTAATGACTTAAGAGATTAAAAATGTGAGAAACACTGAGAACAATACGTATTTTTTGTGATAAATTGAAGGTATAATTTATGGTCGCAAAAAAGATGCGAAAAGTCGAATGAAATCGAATAAAAATGCTAATAGATCAATACGATTACATTCGGTGGCACAAGTCGTATGTCACTGCATAATAGAATTTTCATTTGACTTTTATTTGAAATTTTGATTTGATTTTGAGATAGACAGCTTGTGACAAGTCGAATAATTTCGCAATTTTAACATTTCACAATCACACGATGATTGCAGACTAAAAATTGTCGCGAAACAATCATCAATTTTAATAGACATTTGTCATTTCTATTTATTTAAGGGTTTTCTCAATTTTAACCAAGAAATTCAATATATAAATTAACTATGCAAAGCTCAAAAAAGTGCAAACGTAAAAAAATAATATATAATTAAAACTAAATGTACTTAAACTTTTGTAATTTGATTTTTTAAGAGAAAATTTTTTAAAGCGAGTTACGATACAATTTATTTAAATTTTGTTGAAAACAGATAAATATATTAATTTTTTGATTATAACAAATTATTGGAATTTTGTAGTTTAAGAACAGAAATAATTCTATTAATTTATTTTAAGTCGATTTTTCAGTAAATATATTATATAAGACTTTTCTAGTGTAGTGCAATACGATCTCATGATGTTCACGCTGTTCTATCACCTGTTTTCTTTTGATAATATATCAGTTTACGTCCGCTTACCGGACACCTTTTCTTTTACAAACCTTTTACGGGCCATTTTCTTTATGATAAACTCGATTTTAATAACTCGGTTGATCTTTCACGCTTGTAGTTTTTGCACGGTATCCAGAAAACATATTATATTTTCCATAATATCATAAAACTCGAAATTATACATTTATCCTATTTTTTTACCTAAATGTTTGCGGTAACTAAATATTTGGTGAAATATATTGGCATATAAAGGGCATAAAAATTTCTACATGTCAATTTTTTTGCGTTAATTCACAAATGTCGCATATGTCTAATTTAATCTTTTACAGATATTTAATAAAAGATAATATATTTCAAATAAAAAATATATTTCTGATTATATCAATCGAGCCTAGATATAATTGAAGAATAAGAAAAATCTTACATAAAGTAGCTATAAAAAGCTACTTTAAAAAAGTAGCTTTATTTTTCAATATATATGTATATATACATATATGTATATAAATATTTAATAAAGTGTTTCCCCTCTTTATATCTCTTTTATATTTTTTTTTATTCTTTACAAACTGCGTCGTAAAACTGAGCATTTATCCTAATGTTTATATTTTCAGGATATGGAATATGAAAAAAAGTGATGTATGATACATAAGAAACTTTTATTTGGCATCTTTGACCTGACATTTTAAAACATCTGTAATGTATGAGGATAAAATTTGTATGTATATCCCTGTACATTTATATGTGCAAATGTATATAACCTGACATTTTAATATTTAATTTTATGTAGATAAGTTTTATTATGTTCATATAATTAACTGTATAATTAATTTTCGTTATTAGCATTTATTTAAAATTTTTGTGAAATATTTCTGTGTAGAATGGAACAATACGAATTAAGCAGATCTCATCGGATATTTTAAATTTATTTACTTAGGTATATTTGCAAATTGTCAAATTCATATTTTACAATTTTTATTTTATTTTATATATTTATCAGCATATAGCGGGGATGCTCAATAAACATCGCAGAAAGGCGTCTAAGAGGTATCTTGAATTTTTAAAACATTTTTTTAGACTTTTTTTTATTTCAGACTGCACTTAAACATTTTTGAACGCATTGTTAAGATATCTTTTGCTTTAAAATTCTAGAGAATGTTTCTTCGACATTTTCACTCATTATCTTCAGAATTCTGTCTCGGTTCTACGAGCTCGTCGCCGTGCGTTTTTCGCTTTTGCGCCCGTTGGGAGTGCACCTGTCGCTCGATTAACCCGACGGCGATTCAGTGTGACATGTGCAAGAGGTATACGTCATCCATTAACGATGTACGCTCGGCGTACACGTAATGGTGAACGCCAGTTTCAGCGGGTGGTGGGTGACGCTGAAAGCCGGCACCCCGACGGCCACCACCACGCACGGGCCAAGGGCGCGTGCGCCAAAATTATTCCCCCGGTGCAAACTCACGGGGGTTGTTTAAGGCGCGAATTCTCGGAGGATGGAGAACAGTCGACGAGCCAGCCTCCAGGAGGCACGTTCGCGCGAACCTCGGAGTCGTGCTCCTCAAAGCCACGACGTGTCCCATCAAGACTCGTGATTCAAGACTGCTCCTCCTCCTCCTTCACCTTGACCTCGCCTAGCTGGGCGTCACACCTGGTTCGATAACGTACGCAACAACGAAAAGGGATTCCTTGCAGTTGCATAGATTCTCCGTGTCCCGTTCATCCTCTCGTTACTCGGACCTGCGGCTGGAGCGGCGTCGGCGAGCCACGAATGGCGCGAAAACGGTATCGATGAATGGAGCAACCGATATCGTGCATGGGTGGTACAATGAGAGCTCGTGCGATCATTGAGAATTAGACGAGAGAGAGAGAGAGAGAGGGGAGAGGAGAGAGAGAGAGAGGGTCTAGCCTCTATTCAGTGGTTCCCATAATCGCGGCTCAGTAGAAGGGCAAGAATGTCGCTCGTCGTCATCCTGAAGAACATTCAGGGTCTTAAGTGCAAGGGCGAGAAAGTCGCGAAGATCGACTTTCGAGGTAACGTTAGCACATAATTCAAAATTTGTTGAATCGCTGACGTTCGCACGAAGTAGAGTTTTTCACGAAGGCGATCTGTTCGAGTCGATTTTTCACGTGCACAAAAGATGATCTCAAATAAAATTGCTATCCGGAAATGAAAAAAGAGCAATTTGCCATCTCTAAAATCGACTTCAGTAGATTGTTCCTTTCTCGAAAAACCATCAAAGAACTTGTCGAGTACTTTTCAAACATTCTGAAATTAATAATTATTTATCATATTACCCTTCTCTCCCTCAATCCTTCTTATTTCTTAATATGTATCTATTAATATGTATTTATTTCTTTTATTCGTCATTACACTAATATGCGTGTCAGTTTTTCAGAATATCAGCAGTTTTCTTTTTTTTTTAAAGGAAAAATTATCAGAGATAAAATGTACAGAATTGTTCTCTTCTATAATTCACACATAATTATTCTTGATACACAATTTACCCTATACTTAATACACTGCCATTGTATCTCCATTATTTGAATACTCTCAATATTATTGGTTTAATACTATGCAAATTCCATATAGATTAATGCACGCGCATGTCACGTGGTCGGATGCATATCTGCGTGTACACAACCTTTGTCGGCGTTTAGTGCATTATATCCGGGTGATTGATTGTGTCGCAGATTTGCGTCCTCGTTACAGGAGACCTCGGTCAAATCTCCGAGCGATGCTCTAGGTTAATCTCCCTAATTTCGAGTTAACCGGTTGTAGTCGCATGCTGCTATGCGCCGATGACTTTCCGATAATCCAACGAACGTACGTTAATCGAAATTTTTCAATAATTGAAACGTCGACAACAACGTCGATACAATAGATGCGACTTTCATCTCTGCTATTTTTTAAAATCACGCTTTTTTGTTCGTTTTTACAGAAATAACGATAAATTTAATATTTTCATTCAATATCGCGGTGTTCATTGTGCGACGTAGATCCTCTTTCATGATCATTTCAAATATCTACCTACATTGTGCGTTTTATTGAGTATTATATTAAATGCCCTATTGATAGAAATAAAACTTTTCGTAATTTACAATACACGGAATTTGTGAGGAAAGGATAGAATTTAATGAGAATAAAAACGCGAATAATTGTTACACTTTTATTGTACTTATCGTTTCTAACTTTTCTACAATTCGCTTCTAACTTGTTGCAAGTGTCTTCATTAAGTAAAGAATAATTTAATATTATACCTATTCTCTTTATCATCTACAGTAATATTAGTAACACTACTTATTGAGTATTGTGTCAAATGTCCTTTTGATTGATGGAAATGGAACGTTTCGTAGTTTACAATAGACGCAATTTGTAAGAGGAAGGATAGAACTCAATGAGAATAATAACAGTTAATTGTTGACAATTAGTTGTCACACTCTATTGTACTTATCATTTCTAACATTTCTACAATTCGCTTCTGACAAGGTCTTTATTAACTAAAAAATAATTTATTTTTAATGTCATACTCTTCTCTACTGTCAGCCTATTGTCTTTATCATGCGCAGCAATATTAGTAGCGCAACAATTCTTCCCTCACACATCAGTAAATAACGGAACAATAAATAACGGAACATAATTAACGGAACTGCGCGAATATTTAATTAATACGAGGCGTGTATAATTAACGTGTTTTCAGAAATGCTTGTTGGATATCTACGTCACATAAATCATATGAAAACTATATTTTAGCACACACTCTCTCAGATTTTCTCGAGATTTTCTAGATACAATATAGGTATTCCGAAGAAAATTCTCAACAGATCTTCACTTTTAATTTGATATCTATTGCTTTGCGATGTTTTGTTGCCGTGAGGCTGTAAATGCAGGAGAAAATTCAAACGCCAGCAGCGAGAGACGCATGCCCCATAGCCTATAAGTTCTATAGCGAGAGTAATGTTTTATTTAATCATACCTGCCCCACAGTTAATGCGAACGCTATCAAAGGAGGACCTCTAGCAAAAAAGTTACGGTGTCCAGCGTCCTTTATACATATGCGCAATTATGCGTAATGAAGAATTAGAGACGTTACGTGCGATATGAGATTAGTGGTTCGGGTTTCCTATAATCCCCCGCCGCACTGTAATACGATGGGAATTCCTTGCAACACCTGTTGTAATACCTGTCTGGCCTCTATTATGGATTACCAATGGCTGTTAGAATCATCGGAATTATGATGCTGATCACAATGTAAATCGCGATAAATCCGCTGTTAAATGCGCGGGCAGTGCCGAGTTTAACGAGAAACGTGAGATTTTAGAAGATCCGCTTTGTTAAATGCGCGGACAGTTCAGAGTTTAACGAGGTACGTGAGATTTTAGAAGATCCGCAATCTGGAATCTGAATCCCTCTATAAAAGTATAAAAATAAATAGACATCCTCGCATTTGTGCAATAATTAATTCTATATATTTTTAGAACTTAGACAACGAGATGTTTAACTGATGAAACAGATGAAACGGGACGTTTCTGTTCAGTTATTTTGTTATGCACGAATATTTCGTCTGAGAATTAAAAATAAAATGTCAAAGTACGTCCTCGACTTTTCAGTAAAGATGGCACAAGCTACAATAAAAATGCTGATGGAAGTTGAAAGTGCACATTTTTTAAATGTAACTTGGAATAAATAACATTTGTTTCTAGAACAGCGCATAATGGAGTGTAACAGACACCGCAAGTTTAAGTTACGTTCATTTCCTTCATGATTATCCGTTGTATAGCAAGAACTTCTTATCACACGGAAATGAAAATGTGAAACAGTATAATAGTCATTCGATATGCCTTTCAATATTCCTGTTGTAACATATAATAACATTCTCCCTAAATTATTAACAGAGACTAAAGAGAAATTTATTTTACATACAAATGAAAATACTTAAAATTGTATATTTGGCACACATTATTAAAATTAATAATTAATATGCTTATTTGATTGTAAACACACGTCATATACATTACACGCATTTTCTTTGGCAAAACCACTTAATATCACGAAATCGACGTGTTAATGGAATTCATAAACGCTCTATTATATCAAATTATATGTATAATATGTAATTTGCGGCAGAGAGAGAAAGAGAGAGAGAGAGAGAGAGAAAGAGAGAGAGAGATGAATATATTAAACTTGACTAAACAGAAGTGGATATTGTTAAATGACTGGTTTCGCTTTGACGCAGGTCAACTGCAGAAATGTAATAGTTTATATCAAATATCGGCCGTCCAAATCCATTGTTTTTTCAGGTCTTCGCGAATCATAAACAGCATCTCTCAAACCTTCCTGGTATAATCTCATCAACATTTCGTATGATATACGAGAAAATACGGATATAAACAGAAAACTAATTAATTCACCATTGATCATTATTCCGCGGTACAATAAATACCACGGAAATGCAATGATTACGCTTTTCCAACTATAAAATTAATTAATAATAATTATTTAATTATTACAAATGAAGATAATTTGCATTCCCCATCGTATCGTTGAAACAATAATGTTGAATAATAGTGGGGACTTATAACTTTCTGCGTGCATTGTTCATCGTAACTGACGCCGATTATATTAAAGAACAATCCACACCGTGACAGTGCAAATGTATGAGCAGCGTTTTGTGTTAAAGATCTTTTCTAAATTTACATGGCAAAATCGTTATGACGTTATTTTCAGAACGGGCATCGATCGTTCGCGCGGTTCAAGTGCCCACTACTAAGCAATTTGCAAATATCCTCGAGAGCGAATCGATAGCTGCATTTCGTTATGCAAACAGAACGCAATATTTATGCATTCGCAGGTAGGTCGCCTTTCTTGTGAATGCTGTTCTCAGCTATTTCTGCATAATTTGCATTTGATTCCTTATATTGTTCGCACGGCAAAAAAAAGACGTCTTGCGCCATACATAATTATTCAGATCGTCGATACGGCATAATCATTTAAATTTGTTTTGCATAAAATCGCATATGGGTAGCATACTTGGCTGACAAGAGTGAATTTATAATAATTGCAACACACACACATCGCGTTCTAATTATCATGAATATGCACGCGGTCTAGAGCGTAAGCTAATCTGTTGTGTCTATACAACGCAAGATCAAGAAGATTAGATGATCTAGTGCTTATTTATGAATTAGTAGCAACTGAACTCTCATAATTTTACTGTAATTAATTTTATATATTAATATAATTTTTTGTGAGATTTACTTATTATTAGTAACTAATATTTTAGTCTTATTTAATGTAATTTAGCTTATATCATTCAAACGTTAAATACTGTAACTATATAATTCATTATATTTGTCTCACGGTAAACTTAGATGTTTGACGAGATATCGAGGCGAGAATATATAAAACGGAAAGAAAATTGAAAGAGAAACAAAGTAATTTCTTGCCATTAACAATAGGCAATCTATTGTTAATGACTTTACGCATACTCTATAGATAACACTATGTATTTCTGATATGACTTGCCGGAAAAACTGACGCCCTGTTCCATTTCCAAAGAAAAAATCGGTTCAGTAGAGAAAGTAGTGATAAAAAAGGGTGCTTGCCACGTATTCGTGATGTAATTTTATTAAGCGTTAACGAACGAACGCTCGCGTCTGTCTGCAATTGCGTATGCGCCGCGCATGGCTGACCATAAAGCACCTTATCTACTCTGCGCGAAACTTTCTATCTACGGTAAACCGTTAACAAATTTTGTTAGCTTGTTGATTAAACTTTTACCGCAGGTAAGATACGCCACTAGCAAACAGTCTTTTGTTTCCGATAAAGATAAATCAGATAGAAAATAATTGTGAAGCTATACTCGAGATAAATAAGTTGCGATAAATAAAATGGTCAAATATATGCTCTTCCAATTTAACCCTATTCGCTCCAACCATGCCTTTCGTGTCCCACGAATTTCTAACAGTCGTTTGTTCCGGAAAACAAATGATCGTGGGAGGATCTCCTCCACGCCGGAAAAAAGTTATTGTGGCAGGGAACCTCAGGTAAAAATTTCAAAGTTCTAGCTCATTTACTCTCGAAACGGGGAACAATCAAAATCTCGGTGGGACACGAAAGTGCATGGTTGGAGAATTACGTCAGTGTTGTGTGAAAGGTAAATAAGCATTTTTTTCGATAAAAATGTATTTTTGTGTATAATTTAACCATATTTAAAATATTTTTGTCGTTAAAAAAAAATTTAACATTCCACAGAGGTCTATTATGGCTCAGAGGCAGGTGGAAGAGGTGGGGAGGAGCTACGATTATTAAAAAAAAATTAATTTTTTTACATAAAAAATATCTGTCACACTTCAAATTCGCCTTTTCTTATTCAGAAATTCTTTTTCTAGCATTCTTTAAGTCCTTAAAGTCCTTCTGTACCATTTAAAAATTACCAAATTTGCGGCGACGAAATTAAGTATTCTTATTTAATTAATAATTATCTCATATTTTTTTTCTCATTTGCACTACTTTTAGCTTTAATTTGCGTTTTGGTTCATTAAGCTTCGTCAATTTGTTCGTGAGTTATGATTTTTTAAGTAAAACGAGTCGTAACGTGTGTTTGTCAACATATAATTGTTGTAAAAAAATATTTAAATAAATTATTTCCAAATGTTCTTTACATTGATTTTTAGTCGAAGGTACAAAGATATTATAATAATTTTTGGAGAATTTTTCAAAGCTATTAACATTATAAAAAACACGTGGGACTCGAAAGTGCATGGTTGGAGGATTATTGGGGCGAAAAAAACGTTGGAGTGAATAGGGTTAATATGTAAACCCGCTTGTTTTATGAAAATCAAAAGTAAGCTAGTAACGATGTATCATATTTATCTATAATATCTAATGTATTATCCCGCCTACAAACTAAATTATTTTTATCATTTTAATACAGCCATGCGCTATATATGTCGTTTAGCTCGCGATTAAATCGCGAGTACAAATAGGACGCGTCACTCAAAGCTGTGGCCTTTTTACATATCTAATAAAAGCATCTAGAAAATTGCACTCTACAGATAAATAAATAATCAACAAGCAAGAAAAGTAGTATACGGCATTTCTTCGACACTCTGTTGCGATATAAAAAATCGCATGTTTTATAAAAAAATAATAATAATGCCGACTTATCGTTAGCATATCTTTTTGGAGTACTATGGCGCTAAAGCAAATTATTTTTACGTTGTTATCCCCAATCGTGTTGTTAGGTGCATCGCAACGCGATTTAATCATATTGCGATTCGTACCTAGCATGCCGAGAATTCTACAGTAGCAAAATAGCAGTAAGGTATTTACTGTTGCTCGAGAATAAAGGCATTTTGTGTTGTAACTGCTCCAGAGGTATCTCTATCCCATGATGCTCCAAAGCTAAGTCTGATATGTTCTCTTTTCCGCTTTATGAATACCAGCAGCAGAAGCGCTTCTGACGTAAAGCCGCAAAATGTAATTTTAATTTGCCCCCGAGTGCCGTTATTAACCGGCAAACTTGTGAAGAGCCTTTCGAATTTAAAATGGAAGCTGACGTGCGCGTGACCATTGCATAGAACTAAACATTTCCTTGAGTTGGAAAGGCAAAAGAGTGTGTCAAATTATTTATAAATAAAATTATTTTCAAATCTACATGTGCTTTTTGCGTAGATATATTCCTAGTTTTATAAATTTAAGTTGTGCCATAACTAAAAAGATCATTTTTTAGCATTATCTTTATAAAAGAATATTAATGTCAAAACTAAGTGCGCGAATGTATTTATATAATTTCTTTTATTTAATATATACGTTCGTGCTTTAATTTTATTTATTTCTATTTTCTTATATCTTTAATTATATGGAGGGATAAAAACCACAGTGGTGTAAGTCAAATTTTTAAAAATATTTCCTCGTGTGCATAGATGCAATCTGTACAATATATAAATTGCATTTATGCACACGAGAAAATATTTTTAAAAATGTTACTTATACCACCGTGGTTTTTACCCCTCTATATTTAGATTGTGTTTCGTATTGTTATTATCGAGAACACATTTATATAGCTTCTAATATAATGTCACATAACTTTAACGTATATTATAAAAGTTTTTCTTTGCACATAGTAAAAAAAATTATAGAATATAAATGTGTAAATTATATAGAATATATTTTATCTGTTGCAGAAGTATCACATTATTCGTCGGTACTCGAGGATAGCGGGGATGTCATTGAGGTCGAGCAGGTAAAGTTTCTTCTTTCTTTTATAAAACGCTTGTACTTTTACACAACACGAACACTAGGTCGTCGATAAGTTTTGCAAAATCTCGAGAATACGTTTCTGTATACAAGATTAAGTTTGCGCCTCAACAGAGCGTGGGCGTGACAAAGAAGAACGCTTTTATATGAGGATTATCTCGAGTTTTTCGCAAACTATTGGATCTACAAACTTGATACAATTCTGAGAAATCGTCTCGTTGCGTTTTTCTTCCTTCTTTCCGCCGCTTCCGACAAACTCGCTGTACATACTAAATTACAATGAATAGATTACTATCAAAATGTAAAAAAATATATACTTAAATTTCGATAGAAAAAATAAAACAAATTTTAAACATTATTATTAATCATAAAATAAAATATTATAAAAAAAACTCAGTTTGTTTGACACATATTTTTAAAATTATAAATTTGAATAATAAAGTCTAAAAATTAACAGTATTTTTGAAGAACAAACTTGTCAGTTTAATAAATAATGTGTTTTAAAAGTGTTTTGTTTTTAAATATTTTAATAAGTTTAAGGGTATCCTAAACAGGCAGGGATACTAATTTGATTACTATCATATTGTAGTTTGCAGAAAATATCTTGAGAATATTTTGGTTAGATTTCTAATTAAACACATTTCCCCATTAAATTTCCATTAACATGCGATAAACACGTACCGATAATGGTTCTTCGGATGAAACGTTATTAGTTGGGTACTGGGTATTGAATTATCGGAGTGTCGATGTCCCTTGTTATGACCGTGATAATTATGAACGTCAGAGTAACAAATATGCGTGTCATCTGGAAAATAACGATTCCGTCACAGCCTCCTATATTACAAACACATTAAATCATTAAGCGCCGCTTCTAAATAATTTAAGCATTCAGGGAAGCAATTAAAAATATATGAGAAAAAGTTCGTCCAATCATTATTTTTCATCCAATAAACAATTATTTAATAAATACTGTTGTTTTTCTATCCGATAAATATTATCGTACGTTATTGCGTTGTTTAATAATTCTCTTGGGATTACGTGATAAAATATAATCTATAATCTACTGTACACTTAATATTTATTGCCGACTGAATAAATAACAAAAGCGATGGCACAAATCGAGTGTAAAATCTCAAGGCGACGACGTGACCAGGTTTAATTCCAAGCTCGAAAAGATTTGCGAAAGATAAACAAAGTGTTGGTTTTCAGCGGTCCGGTAGTAATTACTACTTCTGTGTTAAATGTTGATCTCAAAAAGTTTACTCGGCTCCGATTCTTCCTTTGATTCAGTTTATAGTTGCGTTTCTGTAAATTAAAGAAAACTTCAAAGAGAAAATCTCATAAAAAAATTTCCTCGAGAGTTTCCTAATCCGCATCGTTGCTTTACAGTATAAATTGCACAATGGCAACCTGCAGGATTTTCATAGTCTATAGTACAAAAGCCGGCGCTGGATTTGTTATCAAGCTCGTGATGAACGAGAGAGCACGCAGTCTTGATCATCCTTTTTTCCCGGGATGCAAAATGCGGCCGCGATATTGTGCGCACGTAATCAGCATGGCCGCGATTATTATTAATACGTTGCGGCGCACCATTATGTCCATTAACTTTTTTGTCACGGTCGAAGCGAAGGTGTGTAGAAAAATCGTATAACAAAATAGTAAAATCCTCGTCACACATGACAAACGTGAAAAACGCGATAAATATGCAGTATTTTTGCGATCTGAAAACTTTACGCACGATCGCTGCCGGCTGCGACAGCAGCAAACATATATATTCGCCCGTTATAAAATACGATTGCTTTGCACGAACATATCCAGCGCACACTGAAATGTAATTGCGCAACAACTGATATGACAGAGTCCGTGCGATTTAAATGTTGCTCTTCGCGACGTTAATTTAATCGTTTATTTTACGAGGCAATACGTGCCACGTGGATCGTTGTTTTATCATGATAGCTCATCAATAGCTTGCGTCAATGGTAAAGTAGCTCTTTATTTTCTGTCTTCTCGTGAAACGGGAATTTCGACATATGTCCTCGAGATATACGTAATACGCGAGTATTGCGAAAAGGGCAGGCTTTGATATTTACAGCGGGCGCATTGTGTAGGTGGGATATTATAAATTCCGCGCCAAAAATATACAAAATACTGACCCGGTTTATCGCGTTCGGCGTTCCGCGGATGCGGAAGGTGCTTAATAAGTATCGGGAGCTCAATTCAATGACGTCGACGTGAACTAATCCATTACGGCGTTTCCGCGTTGAAGAAGTTTGTCTGACAGCGAGTTGTCTAACAGTTGTGCCCGTGAACGATGTATCGTTCCTCGTAAACACGATCCGCGAAGGAAATAAACGCTTCGCAATATCCCGATAGCACGGACAGCACGAACTAATGAACGTGTAAAATTTGCATAAATGATTGAAGTGTTACGCGTATAAATTTTGAGGGTCGCGATTTTATAATGCTTTCAGCATAATTAAGGATCTCGATCTGTTTTCATAGCATTTGCAAAGGTTTTGATTGAACATGTGCAAATTGAATTGTGCAAGAAATTCATGGCTCTGAAACGGATTACTCGATATCGATTTCTAGGATTGGTTTTTAAAGTTTTATGTTCTTCTCCAATGGAGAGCAATGTTGATAATTAATTATAAAATAGTAGCTAATGCTGGAATGAAGCCAGGCAAGAGTATCTTTAATATTTTTTTATTTTAAAAAGAAATCCACATTGTTTTTTTCTTATTTACTTTTCGTAAAAGTTAAAGCAAGTTCGTGAAAAAAAAAAATAGAACAAATTTTTTAATAATTCTCGATTTTGTGAAATGAAAAATTCAGTTCGTAAAAAGAACTTTTGACGAGCTCTCTCAAACTTATCAATCTTCTTGCAGACATAATATTAAAGGTAAAACGCAAATGACTTTCTGCGAAACACAGATGTGAGAAGAATTTGATTCTGTAAAATGAAATTTCTAGTCTTTGAAATCGATATTTTTTGCGTTTTGTTCTACCCGTTTGCGTTGTCACCGCGGGTAACTAAATTAGTGAACGTGGAGCACAAAAAACGCCAGTTTTCATTATTTCTGATTCTTCTATTAAAAAAATTAAAAAAAGAACTATTATCATTAGAATCGGAGCAGCGATATATAATATTTTCTGATTTTATAAGATTGCATTGAAATACCAGGTAACTCTCGAATAATACGATTAATTGATTCCGTGTTGTTAAAAACCGTGCAATATTCAAAACTCCAGTTCCATATAAATATTTAAATTTTAAAAGATACTTTTAAAAAGCAACAAAAGCTCTACCCCCGCATCTACATATGTATGTGCATTTCTTTTACTGAGTGACTGTATTATTCCAAAACTTTGTGCAACTTAAATACCGTGTTATTAAAGAGTTGTCACAATGTTTTATCGTGCTGTTCGAGAGTTCGTGCAAGTACCGTATTATTCGAAAGTCACCTGTATACACATTTCTCTGATTTCGTAAAAAACTCGTAACTTGGTCTCTTCGCTGTTTTTAAACCCTACCGATCTTTAATTCATCTGTTTCTTCGCAGGAGAGAAGGCAAAATTGAAATTGGAACGACGATCAGCGGGTGCAGGCTTTATTAAAAATCATGAAGAGAAAAAAGCGCCTCGCGTTTCTCGAGCGTAAATAATAAATCGTCTTTATCGTGCGGCAGATCTTCGCTTAGAAGCTTTCTCAATATCTGTTCTTTCTAAGTTTCTTAAGTGGTTTTCTCAAAGGTATCCGTGCTCACAATTTATCGATCCATTTTTATCTTCCATTTTTATTTATACTAGACAATACAGACGCGCAGTTCGCGCGCGCTATTTAGCTTTAACATTATGCTATTACTATTACACTATTAACACCGCTTGATACACACAACTGTCAAAATATACGATGACAGCTGCAAATAAAGTATATAAGCGCAGCGAGAGAACCCAGCAAGCACTCGTTATTTTGACGTCAAAAGACGTCAAAATGACAGACTTTTGACGTCAATTGACGGCAAAATGACGAGTGCTTGCTACCTGGGAACCAACCGGCATCGCGAAAAAGCGACAACAATAAACTTCGATAGGTCCGAATATCGACTTTACATGCCTTTTTTTTAGATATGATTGCACGCCTTTTTTAGAGAGGGACCCTTTTTAGAAGAGAATACATGTACACATCTCGCGTGTCACGCTATATTTCATATGTTTCTTTTTTATGTGCGTGCGAGCTGAATGCGTGCAAACTCGCAATATAGTGATTCGAATCGTCTCGCTTATGGCAACGTATAATTAATTTACGAGTATATTGAAAAAAGAGCGATATTTTTCTTCGATATCCAGCTCGAAAAATCTATTTATATTTCCCCAAAAGTCGACCAACTAAAAAAGATTAATATCTCTGCAAAAATACAAAATATATTTTCAGAACTAAAAGTTAATTTAAACATAGTTGAATTTGATTCTGTTTCTCTTTCTTTAGGTTTATATTAAAACTGACAAAAATGCAAGATCTTTTTAAAAAATATAAAATAATTTAATTCCTTAAAAATTAAAATAAAACCTGTAGTCACACCTCAGAAGGAATTAATGGCATACCCTCGAGAGTATCTTGCCACGAACATCCCTTTACATTTACCCTTCGGTATCGGCGTTAAATTGTACCTACGTCCCACATATCTCACACACAGATATATGCAGAAAGGTCACGACGAAATCGAGCAAAACTGATGGCGGAGGAGGACTAGTCACGTATTAAACTTTTTGTTGTTTCTAAACTGTGATGGTATAGTTACAGCGTTTCTTTCTTCATTAATTAATTAATAAATGTTTAAAAAAATGTTTAAGATAACATTGTAAGATATATTACGGTTCTTTTTCTTTTGCCTATAATCTTGCTACTGTACTTTATCTTTTCGTTTTTAATCTTGCTTTTAATCTTGTTACTTTACTTCAAAGTTTCAAAGAAAGTTATTTGATCAATGGATATGTTGTGAAAAGAAAGAAATAAAAAGATCCAAAGTTTTCTTTATTTACACTTGTTCTTGATTTCAAATGTAAGAAATTTAATTTCATAGAACAAATATAACTACGATCGACTTCTGCCGATTTCACACAGTCTTTTTCATCTATATCTATCGGTTGTCTTATTGGAAAGAAAATCAAAAGACGTGCGTTCTGAATAATTTATTTTCCATTTTCAGAGTTTCACGTGGAACTTAGGAAGACCGGTGGACGAGGCGGAAGTGCTGCAACTAGCAATTGTATCGCGCGGTGTCTTGAGATACGAAAAAGTTGCGGCAAGATATGGACTGGTGTTGCAGACGGTGGTGCGCGAAGGGAGGATTCTGGTCTCGGATTCGCTAGTCGACCTCAATAACAAGCCGCTTCCGGTACGTTTCCGATATCGAACAGAATAGCTGAATACGTAATCGCCGCGATACACGATATACGTTTCTAGTTTCTATGCGCGACACGTAATCGTTACAGGACTCAAATATCGCACGTTTGCCATCGCCTATAAAATATGTTATTTTCCTTATAAAATTTTTATAACCATATCTATTCTTATATCTTTTGGATATTTTCAAATAGTTACCGATAATAATTTTGTACAGCATTTGTCTCAATTTTGAACCGTCTTAACCATTTTTATTATCTAATTGTAAGATAAGTTTTATGCAATGTAATTTAGGTGAAATTTAGTATTCTTTTTTATTAATGACATATGATTCATTAGTTAATTTCTTAGTATAAAAAAGAACACATACTTGTAAATTAATTAATTTACGATAAAAAATAGTTACACTAAATATATATGTATGTATACACGTGCGGTACATTTACAATCATACAAATATCTTCAGTGTCTCGTGAGAATTTGCTAAATGATAAGCATTTTCGAATAAATTTACGATAAATTCTTGTTTGAAATAACAAAGTTCACATCATTGTTAAATGACTTAAGTTTTCTTGTGTAAAAAAGAAGAATTAAAATGCGAAGAATTTACAATTGAAATGTCGAGGAATAAAAAATCTAAAAAAATGTTCTAAAGCCCGCGTATATTTCACTCGTTACAGTAACAGCAAACCTAATTTAATTGAGATAGCAATTTTAATTTTACTCCTTGCTTACTCTTTTTCCTCCACAGTTACCATATTAAATGTTTTTCGTCTCAGAGAACATTTTCTCATGAAAAGTACCTACGTGACTGACATTTTAAGCAGATAACTGCATCAATGACACATCCTAGATATAAGCATGCATTCTTTTCTTAAAAAAACTATGCTTTTTTCTCTTCTTTTCTAAATAAATATGTTACGAGTAAAAAATTATAATTTCTTTAGACACAACTGCACATTATATATACATATATATTAAAAAGTTTGATATATATATATAAATTGAGCTAAATTTACTAAATTTAAAATTCCGTTCTCTGATCTCTGTCTCTGTTTTATTATGTTAATTAATTCAAAAATAAAAAACTTGAAAACAGGACTAAAATTATCATAACATGTATCGCTGATAATAGTAATTTTCAATTAAAAATTTTGCATATATAGAGAGTTTTTGTAAAACTGCATTTTTAAGGATTGCTGGAAATTTTATATTATAATAGTCATTTCTTTTCAAGTTGATCTTTAGATAACATTTAACGAGTTACCACGTTTGCTGCTACTGCTGTGTGTATATTCAGAACAGAAGGCTGTGGAGATGAAAATATCGTCGTAAATTCTCAGAATGAATAAACTGTCACTAACTGCATATTGTTAACAAAGTTGAAATAGAGTGTAAAAATTAAAATTCTTCTCCCAACGCAAGATACATTAACTTCTTTTGTGATCTTTGAAAGTTAAATTGTACTACGTGTCGACCTTTGCTATTACCATACCAAATGCATCAAAATAGAAAGACAAAGCAAGCGATCTTCTTTGATCATTGTGGCAAGACTTAAGTAATTAAAATGAAAATTACATTTTACTTCAAAGTTTTAATATAAATTTGAATGCAATTGAGTAAAATGAAATAATATTTTTTATTGTAATTAACCAAGAAAAATTTACAAATTAATAAAAATTTTGATATTTCATATTTCTGACACGTATAATAAACTGTGGAGCTTTGTCTTTACAAAATCATGAAAAACTATTAGAATAACTTGTATGCAGTTAAATTTTTATTTTACTACTTTCATAAACGTTATTATTTCTCAGACAGAAAAATATTGGAAATATCTCCATTCAACGTTTTCTATTTCCTAAATTATTTACAGACAAATTCATTATTTGTGTGTTAGGTTACGTTTTTCAAATTGTCCTGATAATATTAGAAATTGCTAGACATTTTTAGATAACCCTGTGCATTTTCCGCTAGGTTACTCTGATTTATGTCGTAGCATTATTTCATGGTTGTCGTCATTACGGCAAGTTTACGCGTGGCACAAGAAACAAAAGTTCGTGCATATTTCTTACTTCCGTTAAACGATTATCTTAGTTTCTATCGATCGATCCCTTTAATAATTCGAGTACGTGCATTTCATGTGTGCAGGCAGTGGTGTGCTTCGAAATTCGATACAATCCTCCAGACGGAAGTTGCAGCTCGTACGCGGTCTCGGAAATAATGGAGGACGAGCAACAAATGTTGATCGACATCGAGCAGAATATCGCGAATCTCGAGAGAAGCCTCGAGCAGGCCAACAGCAGTTCAACCAGCGGAAAAAGAAGAGGATCATGGCATACTCCCGAAAAAACATCAAAAAAAGGCTTCTTGCCAAGGGGTACTTCTCTATCGACCAGCGAAAAATCACCTGACACTCGAAAGCGGTGAGTGACACATGAATGGATCGTTCTTTAAACAATAATATAATATATATATGCATCACTGCGAAGTATATAATTTCAGAATTTAAAAAGTAAATAAAAAATTAATAAAAAGTATAGTAACATGAAAAACAAACGTTTCGATATTCAATACGGTCATATTCAGTGCGCAAGATAAAGAACATTATTGATTCCAACGGTAAACCGCAAATTAATATCTTGTATTATAATTAAAAGTCGAGTCGATATATTACATACCGTAATATATGACCTTACTGAGAGCCTTTTATTCATTTTATATTTATGTACCTAATATTAGAATGTAAGTCTCTGCTGAGGCTAGATATCAAAATTATTCCAAAAGTTATATAATGAACAATCACAATGGAACAAATATTCCATAAATATAAAAATTAAGAAATATTGTTTTACTTGATACAAATACAGATTTGGCAAATTGATACAAATATAGATTTTGATTAAAAAATGTAACTTGTTAAAATCTAAGAAGCCATTATGAGTTCAGTTGTGCATTCATATTTTATTAAAATTTAATGTTTTTTGTTAAAATTAAATCACCATTTTTAAAATAAGTAATCGAGTTACGTAGTATTACATTCTTTAATCGTTTTAAGAGAATTATTTTCTCTATAAGCATAATTTAAATCCATCTTGTCGCACTTACGTATCGTACTGATATCGTCAAGGCAAAATATTGCAATAGTGTTTTTTTGTGTATATTATCACAATGACTCAATAGCTGATTTTATTTAATTTGGCGTTTAGATACACAATGAATCGTCGCGCTTCATAATTTCTTTGTCTCAGTATAGCGAGGCAAAGCTGTCGTACTATTACGTCATGATTGAATAGCGAATAATTATTACAGATGCCATATTTTTTAAGAGATATAAACGATGTGTTGAAACATAAACATAAATAATTACGAGATATAGTTTCGTTACTCTAGCGTTAGATTACACCGAAATATATATTACACGAGGGATACATCGCCGAGAGGGTCAACACAAACTATGTTAAAATTATTCGCCAAATTCATATGTTAAACTACCTATCATATTTATGTTTCAAGCGGATAGCTCTATTTAAAGAACAAAATCAATATTGAATTATCAATAAGCAATTATTAAGTTAATGAGAAACTCACATGTGAAAATTTTCATGCTCTTTTTTATTTATAAGAACACACAGAAGCTATTAAAGAAGTTATTTTCGCAATACGTAGCATTATAATATTACTAACTTTATAGAAACGCTTTTAAAAGTTCTACTTTTATCGGTACGCTTTAACCGTTATATAATTTAATTGCGAATATGTATTCCATGTAGGTAAAATTCATGCATAACAATTGCAAATTGAAATATGAATTATTAAATTTCTTTTCAAAATAAATCTATATATTATTCGAGTCACATATTTATCTTATTCCAGAAGTACCAAAACTTAATTGCATATTATTTCGTAATTTCCTATTGCTACCGATTTTACACGCAAAAAAGATATAATCTAAAGCTAAACATGAAAAAGCTAACCAATTCTTAACTTCGTCAAATAATTATATCAACTTATAATAAAATAAGTAAAAACCAATATTGTCACGCATTTTTACATTTGTAAGAATATATTATAAAGAATTATTACGAATTTGAAAATTACGTAACTTTTTACATAGCTACATATAGATAAATGTTTGTACTAATTGTAAGAGACATGAAATCTCTATATTGAAATTTACAAGCAATTTAAAACCAATTTATCACTCTATTTAAGCTCAAAACTGCATAAAAATGAACTACACGACGTGTTTCACTTAGTTTCGCATCTCGCGTTCATTTTTGCGAGATACCTACATGCAGAGTAATATATCTTCATTAGCGTTTATTTTACGCGCTATGAAAAAGGTTAAAATTGCATTTTACTATTTTCTATTTCATTTAAACTCAGAGTTGTAACAAGAAAAAACGAAGATCTTATTCAGCAGAAGTTTGCATACATATTTTTTTAAATATTTATTTGTCAGAAATAATTGATATGTTAACAATAATTATTTTTTCTTTTATTACATTATTAAAAAATTCTAATATAAGTTTAATGTCGAGATTTGTGTAAACCACATCTGATTTTTATTTTACTCATTCGATTAAACGTATAAAAAAATTTAAATGGTGTATTTTCAGAAAGTTTGCTTGTCACGCTCACGCTCACACAAAAAATTTAGTTAAAATTTCATTTAAATTTATTTTTTACTCAAGTATTTTATAAATATAAATCTATTTTTTGCTGCATTTTCATTCAAAATTTCGAAATAAATAAATCTCTAAAATCACTTACAAATACACATTGACTTTTATAAATTCCCTGTACGATTACTTTGATCAATTGACAGCTTTCGACATTATTAAGCAATGTATTATTACGTACTACCGTCAACGTCACCGAAACGTGAAAAGATTGCTTAATAAGGGCGACAGACCGTTCGACGGTGTCGGTGATGCCGGCGATGTGTTAAAGTTCGTTATCACGACGACTCGATGAACCATTTTACGATGGAAAGGTCAGAGGAAGAAGACGCGAGATATATTATTTTTGCACATATGTTACGCTGAGCGATACGTAAAATGTGGAACGGGTGATTTTATATTGGTACAATCTTGGTACAAGATATTAATATAAAAATAAAATACCGACTATTCTCCAAGTATCAGTATTATTATACGTGTGACACAGAAAGCACTATCATAATCTTTTCTTATTTTTAATTTTTATATAAGTATCTTAAATAGACCGCAGCGAAGTTACTTTATACCAAGATTATGAAGCTTATCTGTCACTAATCTAGAAATATTTGTAACTAAAGCTTCTTACTCTCTTAATATGTAGAAAGAGAGAGAGAGAGAGAGAGAGAGAGAGAGAGAGAGAGAGAGAGAGAAAGAGAGAGAGAAAAGATAAAATTAAATCCGCTATAATATAACAAAACAATTTTAATACTTATTGTAGAACAGAGATACATAAAAGTTTCAAGCAACTTTATAACAAATAACTTTGTTACAAATTTTTTTAAATATAATTACAATATATTTTTTCATCTAATTGATCTCGCATTTTCTATTTTCTTTTACTTTCTGACAATAAAAGGCGGCTATGAGTTATACTACTTCATGTAGGTATTATTAGGATCTCATTCCGATGCGTTGGGGAAGAAGTTGCTTTTTATATCTCGCAAGAGGACTAAACTCTCTTGGGAGCGCCACAGCAATTCCTGTCGATACCTTTCGAAGCGAGGACGTAATCGAACGTAACTCGTGAACGTCCATACGCGTAATAACATGCCCGTGACACATCCTCGTTCGCAAAACCGCCCATCACGGTTTCCCCTCATTATAATCGATGAGGATCGTAGTAACACGGTTGCGATATACTGTAGCACTCGAACCCTTCAATTTTGTCCCTGTTTTCAGCTAGTATACAACACGTATTTCCATCGGCGGATTATAGGGTATATAGACAGGCTTATATACCTATTGGTTCCGGATTTTGTTCAAGCTTTTGGAACTTCAGTTTTTTAAGCTTTTAATAATTTTATTAAATATTATAAATAACTAAGATTAATAAAATGTAAAGTTTAATTTGCAAATTATATCAGTTGAAGCTATTAAAAATATATGCATCTATAAATGCTTTTTTCAAGTTTAATAACATGCAAGAATAAAAAAGGCGTTTCCGCAAAATCTTGTTCAGATTTAGCTTACAGATTAGGAGATTTGGAATTCAATTTAAGCGTTTGCAATGAGTCTAAATACTTTAATCCACCGTGATATGTTTACGGTTACGAGCGGATGGTATATTGCGACTTAAAGTGAGTGACGCCATCGGGTCGGGATCACACCAAAGTTCTCGGTGTGCAACGACAAGAAACCCGATGGAAGTGATATGAGACGTGAGACGTTAGTAAGCGGCTTTCCGAGTTACCTGGAAAAGAGAAAAGTTATGTTTATATGCTGTGATGGAGAATAATAAACGAAGAAATAAAACCGAGAATTCGCGTTTCTAGAGACTAGAGTTAGAAGTTATCTAAATATCTAAGCCAGGAAATATATTTTTTTATTTAATACTCCTCTTTCTCTCTCTCTCTCTCGCTTTCTCTTTCTTTTTTTATATATTGTGCAATAAAACATTGGAAGATAAAATAAATTACCATCTTTTATTCTGAATGTGTTAATCTTAATTATACATTCTAATTACAATTCTGTATTACACATTTCAAGAAATGTCAAGGTGGACAACGGCAACTGGTTTTTAGAAAAAAAATCTTGCCTCTTGAATCGTTAAAGTCTCTCAATGTTGATTACACAACGGAAATTAGTTTTCGGAATGGTGTTTATTCGGTGATATATTGAATTCCTTCATGGATCCATGCATTTCCTTTAGAAGCACCGCTTTGAGAAGCGTACGATCCCTGCTGAAATTGGGAAAACAGAGACCGCCACGTACTCGGTCCTGCGACAGCGGCTCGGAAACGAGAGAACTCCTCGACAGACAGGATTCCAGCTGTCCGACATCGAACGAGCCTTCGCGAACAAACTCTATGACGTCCCTCGAAACGAATGCTTCCGATAACGACAGTCAATTAAGCGCCAAACCTGCGCAAGAGGAGACTGTTGCAAAGCCGGCCAAGAGATCTAAGCCTAAGGTTTTAATATCTCTTTCAATAATAATTAATATTCATTAATAATTCGTGTTACATTGCACATGTTAGTAAGAATGCTAAATATAGAATTTTGAGATTTAGTTATTATATTGTACATAACCAACCAATATCTTACATATGGTGCGTTCGGGAAGACGCTATTAGTGCTATTTGCTTATTCTATCCTTGTTTTACACCTGATGAGCGATAAAGATAAAATGTACAATATACAACCATAGTACACTGAAAGCACGAGAGTTTAAAAATAATAATTATATCGAGTAAAAATCTTATATTGTTTTATTATATTTTATTATTATTACATTTTTCTCGTATTTTATATCTTTTTCTATATTACATTTGATATAAGTTTATATTATTATTAAACACTGTTATATCTTTATTTATCTGAAGTTTAAGATGTTGCAAGTTGCAATATTAACAAGAAAACTTTTACTTTCCTTTATTTCTTTGACAATATAATATAAATTTAACAGACAGATAATTTAAACAAAAACACAGTTCTCGCAAAATAAAGTAATTTTAAAATGTCACAGCAAATTGCATTAAGCATTTACGATAATACTAACATAGCGCAATTATTCGTAAATGACAACGCAATTATCGTTAAATGAGATTGAGGTCGATCGATCCTGAAAAGGCAAGCTTAAATTACGAGCAAAGGGTGAAAAAATTTTTACGCAAAACCTATTTCGATTTTCTTTCTACGAGCGATTTTGATATCATACGGTATATCGATGTTGTGTGCTTGAAAAAATATTAACAATTCGTAATAATATCGCGAAACAGGATATTTTTCTCCGAAAATACTTTATATAAAGAAGCATATATAGAAGTATTGTCCTTCTATTTATTAACTGATGTACAGAGATCTTGAAAAAATTTTCTAACACGAAATAATATACAATATCAAACACTTTGTGCAATGTTTATTATTGTATAACTATTAATAGAGGATATAATACGCTTTAAATAATATATTATATACTTTGAATAAATTGTTTCTTCAGTAGTCACAAAATTCGATAAAGAATATAGAGAGAAGTAAACTTCTCACTAACAATTGGCGATCGCTTTTATAATTCATAATCGATATATATTGTACAAGTACTGAAGAATGCTTCTCCGACTTTCTTAAAATAGAAAAAATCATATCTTCTGAATGTACTGAGAATTTATTCAGAATTTAGCCCATATGTTCCTTCGGAGAAGCGAAATGATAGAATTCCTTTTATAACGAACAGATACGTGACTTCACTCCGAGCTATATAAAAATGATATATGAGAACCGTAAAAGCTTCTTTTGCAGAAGATTTCTCAAATTTCGATCCATATATGACTTCCTCTAATGATCGACCGAGCTTTTTGAGTTCATTACTTATTACATTCAAAACGTACACATGTTACTAGATATTGTTCTCCGATTAAGTAATTTTAAACGTCGAATCGCTACGTAAGATATGCTTTGAAAGCAGTTGAAAATGATAGAGACGTCTCCGTCAAATTACAGCAATCATTGTACATGCAACACCTTCTCGAATTCAAAGGCATTGCACGTGCCGTCTGATTTTCTGCATCGCAGTTCAAGTTATTTAAATCAGGTTGAATCAACGTGAACTTTTCTCGTTTCACAGACGAGCGATACCTGGCAAAGTGCGTTAAAAGCCCAAGATTATCAAGTGTGCGTTACGATCATAGAAGCGCGGCAGCTCGCCGGTCTCAACATGGATCCAGTCGTCTGCGTGCAGATCGGAGATCAACGCAAATATACGAGCGTCAAGGAGTCCACGAATTGCCCATATTACAACGAAGTAAGAAGCAAAAAATACATTGTCTAATTAACGGACTTCTGTGATATGGCGAATTTTTAATAAGAAACTATTGATGAAGTGAGATAAATAATGCTTTACAGAGCTTTTGCTTTTTTCATGTCTTATTCAGATTATAAAAAATTGTAACTGGAGAAATTATTTTTTAGAGAAATCTGATTATTTATATGTTTACAAATTTGGTTTTGCCTCTACTAATTATTTCTCTCATTTATATTTTCAGTACTTTGTCTTCGATTTCCACATGCCGCCTGTTATGCTGTTCGATAAAATTATTACGCTGTCGGTGAGTTTATTCGCACATATTAATTTACGGTTTGAAATCCCGAAACGAGCGATTTAAAATTAATTTGCCCATTGATATTTAATACGGTCGAAACGCAGTTAGTTGCGCGACAAATGCGCGCGCGTTCCTGAATAATTTCGCTCCATTACATATCTTTGTCGTTCGCAATTACGAATTCAGCAGGTATTTAGACGAATATCGAAAATCGATTATTCGAGATTTATTCGAGCTTAAGCAGAAAGAAAGCACATTAAAATTCTGTTTGAGAATTATAATCAGTGAACGAATATTATACGACGGGTCAAGCGTTCGATGTTCAAAATGAAAGCGCGAGGGCATGAGGAAGGAAGCTCAAACAGCGCATCTTTTAATAATACGCAGGTGCAGCAATCGCGGAATCTCTTGCGCGCTAATCTAACGCTGGGCAGCTTTAAATTAGACATCGCGACGGTATGGGCACAACCAGGTACAGGTTTCACATTGTCCAGAGACCATGGTCGAGTCTAATGCTCGGTGTACTCGGAAATTGCATTCTCCGAGAGGAATTAAATCCGTTAAATCGTCCGTGACGCGATGAGTACCGTGATGATATCATAGTTCAAGTACAATTACAAAACACGCTGAAGTTACTTAAAATATAAAATACGCAATGCATTATTAGCGTTTAAAGAATATAGTTTAAAATATATAAATTATCCAAACAAAAGAAGCTTTAAAAATATAAAGTAGACGAATACCGAAATGCGAACTAATCAATTGTGTCTCGAATATATGTATATGTCCTTTACAAATAATTGAAATATTTGAAACTACGCGATCTTGATTGTGCGGCAAAAATCTTCGTGTGTTGGTTTAGCTATCGAACCAAATGGATATCTAAGAGTATCCCTTTAAAAATTTTTATCGTGCGTCGCACGTAGATTAAATTCTCAAGTGGTACACCTGGTATGTGACTCGGTATGCGATGCTGGCAAGTGCACTTCATTTTTAGCGACAAGTGTTTTCGACAAATGAAGTCTTTATTACATCACTCTTTGCACTCTGCCTGCGAGTTTCGAAGAGCCCCGTGTTTACAAAGAAGGTGTCATCCTCCTGCGTGGCATAATTTTCAGAACTTGGAGAAGCGTAGAAATTTTTTATGGACGCACTGTCTTTTAACGAGAAAAATCTCACCAACTCCAGTCTCGTTTTCTTAATTCCTACTTTCGTTCTGCGCTTCTACTTAAGACGTTTCCTGAAAGTGCGAAATTTCACGCTTCACGTGACTGAATAATCGCATGCTTAATAAGAGAATCCCTATGTACCGAACTTTTTACGAATTATTCTTTCTTGTTGGATTTAATTGGTAAACGGTTGTCGGCAATGTATTTCGCTTAACGATATTAATTTTAATTAACCTTGCACAAATAAATGTTTAATCTCGTTTTAATAATAGCCATTTTCGTATTTTATGTGTCAGTAGTAATCAACATACACACATGTTAGTAGTATTGGTGTTCTATCTGTCGAGTTTTCCCCAATATGTTTTTATGCATACTTTGAAACTACGTCATTATTTTCTATAATTATACACAAAAACATTGTTGGCAAACAGTTTAGTTAACGGACACGTACTGCTTTTAACATCCTGTTGCATAAAGGCTAATTCTGTAAAGCCAGAGCGCTCTTATGCACCAGTAATGTGTGATTAGCAAGCGATTTGCAATTAAAACAATATATTTGAAATAAAACATTTTACAGTCTTCTATATATACTGCAGAAAGATTTGTTCTGCCAACCCACACACAATGCATTTTTCTGGTTACTGTACACTTTTTAATCTTTTTAATCACATTGAAATCTAGCAGAATCATCGTACGCGATCGTAAACATCATCGATCAACGCTTCGGAGGGAATTGTTATAGGGAAAACTGCGGAGTGCCGGTGAAAAAATATCAATCATCATTTGTTATACGTCCGACATTCGTTGCGAGCAGAGCAAACTGTTCTATTTATATCGCGAATCGCGTTCGCATGCTAGGCTTTTCACCTCCATGTATATGGATGTTCTTATACGCATGTACATATCGTAAATGTGTACGCCCAAGATAAGTCCGAACCACGCGTTTTCGCACACGCTAAAGTACCGTAGTATTGACAGGTAGAAATTTTATGGTCGCCCGTATGATCGCACATCGAGATAATAAATCGCTCGTAAACAGATGAACTCCCGCTCAACCGTTTACTCACATCGATTCTTTTCGATCCAAACTTGTTCGTATTGGTAAATAGTCGCGTGTGATATCCGTCTTGATGAGAAAAATACTGTGAATATGAGATTATAAACGTGTCTCTCTAAATTTACTTATTGTTAGAATACGCCTTTCAAAATTACAAACATTCTTTTAACTAAATAGAAGACTTCGTTGAATACGATCATTATATTATATAATTTTTAATATTTTAACAATAAAGTTTATTAATTCTGTTTAGATAAAGTCTAATTGCGAATAATGAAAGTTTAATTTGTTAAACATTTTATTTAAAAATATTAATGTTTCTCTAATACTTTAAAGATATTACTAGTATATTATTTAATTTCTCTAATCAGAAAAATGTGTTTGATGATGCTGTCATACTCCGCATTTGTCTTTTAAAGGACAAAATGCTATGCAAACAATATCACGTACATATATATATATATATGTACTAATCTTCTATTTTACTTATAAAAACTATATCGAGATTACGTTATGGCTACTTTGATCGACGCTCTAATAAACTTGAATAAACTAATAACGTGCTAAGGCTGAAGGTCCCGAGCAAAATATCGATTACACTGTTCAAGGTATAACACGTAATCGTACGCTGTTTAATTGCATTAAAGTTGCATAATACGCCGGGCGCCGTCCAATGCTATCATCAGATATTTTTTGTTTATTTATAGAAGATAAACGAACGCTTCGAATTGATGCATTACAAGCGATGATGGCGCGCATTCGATAAAACGACCACATGTCAGTTTTAATTGGTACCTTCATTTATTCGTACGTTTCGAATACAGTTGAAACTATAATGCGTGGGTGAAGCGTGTGGTTGTCGGACAAACCTATCAAGCATTTTCAAACGAGTTAATAAAAGTGAATGTTTTTGAATGTTATGACAGGGAGTTGTTTGTATTACTCTGGTTTCTCTATTTAAATCGCACTCTCGAAAGATACCTATACATATCCACAAAGATAGAAAATTGAAATAAAAACTAGTTTTTTCAGCTGTTTCATGCTCTAAAAATGACAAAGCTTTTTGATTGCTTTTTGCAGATCTCTCTTTTCAATTTCTAGCTATTCTCTTTTGTCTGTATCTTAATAACTGTCTCATTGTAAACTGTATATTAAATTTAAAATCGGGGAGTTTACCCGGACAAACCCACGTGAAAAGCATATTTTAAAGATAATGGCAGCGTGAGAAAGTTATTTATATCAAAATTATATTTTTATTGTTTTACTTTATTCTGGCATCGTTATTTTTCTACGTAATTATATATTTTAAAGAGCTTTCTGTTCTAAAAAAAAATGTGCAAAATGTTAAATTCTTCAGTTAAATCCTTTCTTTTAAAGTAGCGTTGTACCTCGTGCTGCTTTTAGGGTAAACTCTCCTCATATTATAATTATAAATTCCTCCCTCCTTTTGACAAATCGCGTATCACGGATAAACGTTAGTAAACTTTATCCTTAGATCATCAATTCTACCACAAATGGGCCCTGCTCACCGACCCGGATGACGTTGCCGGTGGACCCAAGGGCTACCTAAAATGTGATATAAGTGTTATTGGCAAGGGCGACACCGTGAAGATCCCTCCGAAAAGTGAAAAGGACGAGGACGACATCGAGGGAAATCTTTTATTGCCGGACGGTGTGCCGATCGAGAGACAACGCGCGAGATTCGTGGTGAAGGTCTACAGAGCTGACGGCTTGCCAAAAATGAACAGCAGCATTATGGCGAACGTGAAGAAGGCTTTCACGGGGGAAGTGAAGGATTTGGTGGATCCATACGTTCAAGTGTCCTTCGCCGGGCTCAGCGTAAGCTCAATGCATTCTTACGACGCAGTTGGCTATATATAAGCTCGATATTGTAAAATTATTTTAAAATGTCTTACGCTAATTATATCGCCGCATTTCTGATCTCGGGAGGATCAGCTACACGATTTACGATACAATTTGAGAGTAGCAGAAAAGTGATTTTGTTAAAATACAAGTTTGACAAAATCATTAAAAGTTAAAAACTAATTCCGCCCGGAACTGTTGGGCTTACTTGAAACGACATTTAATGGAGCGTGTGCTAGACGTGTCAAAAGCAATCCAGTGTTTTTTTTTTTTATATTTATTTTATTATTGGAATTCCAGGGGAAAACAAGTGTGAAGAGGCATAGCTACGCTCCAGTATGGAATGAACAGATAGTTTTTACCGAGATGTTTCCTCCCCTCTGTCAGAGGATAAAGATACAATTGTGCGATAACGATCCGGTGCACGCCACCGTCATCGGTACACACTTTGTCGATTTAAAGCAGATCAGCAACGACGGCGAAAAGGGTTTCTTGCCGACCTTTGGTCCGGCGTTTATCCACTTTTATGGCAGCATCAGAGATTACAGTCTCATAGACGAGCATTCGACGTTGAACACCGGCTTGGGCGAGGGAATTTCATATAGAGCGAGGTTGTGCATTTTATTTTACAATAAGATACACATATAGTTATATGTTATAAATAATACAATTAATTTTTTAATTATTTCATGTTTATATAATAATTACAAATAATAAAGTTTTATATTTAATAATTACCAATTACAAATAATAAAGTCGGAATCAATGTAAAATCAAATAAAGAAAAAAATTAATATAGAACGAGATGCTGAATTATAACTTATACTCTCTGTTTCTCGATTATTCACATTTAGATTATTGATAGCGATACGAACTGAGATCACCGATAACGTAGAAATGGCACCTTCGGAAGTCGAAGTGGAACCGACAGTGCCTGTCAACGAAACCGCCTACGCGAGGAACGAGGAGTTCTTTCTGTACGCCACAATCATGGACGCCACGATGATTGACAAGAAGCTCGGCGATAAGCCGATGTACTTCGAAATATCTATTGGAAATGCAGGCAACGCTCTCGACGGTCACAATGAAAGTTTCAAGGTGAGGGATTTTGCACGATCCACTTTCTAGAAACAAAATTAAAAATTTTCTTAATAAAGAAACAAAATTTATCTTGATACCTCGAAAATACTTTTTTTTTTTATTAAGAAGAAAGAATTAAAAAAAAGTTGGAAAAAAGTTTTCTAAAAATGTCAATTTTTGTCTGTAAAAGTTAAAGCCCGTTTTTTGCTTGTTTTGACAGATGTACGAGACAGGATCAAAGAGTGGAACAAGTGGGGAAGAGGAAGACCTGCAGGAAGTCTTGGCTGGATCCTGGCAAAGCACCACACCAGCCAGTAAACCAATGACGCACGATAAGATTTATTATTTCTTACCGTACTGGGACGACAAGCCGTGCCTTCATGTAAGAAGCATATGGCCGGATTACAGGCGTCGAATGTACAACAGTAACATTATCGGCAAGATCGTTGACAAACTGGTAAGTTTACGGATTTAAGATTATTAATTACAACTATCCTTGATTTTGATTATACACCAATGTTTCTTAAAAAAGCGGCGTGTCTGGTCAAATTAATTAAGGAATCAAATAGACACAAAAATATTAATGTAGAAAGAGATGTTGAATTACTCTCTATCGATTGTTGTTCATATTTAAACTATTGGTAGCGATAGGAACCGAGATCATTTGAAACCATTTAATAACCATTAAAAAAATATTCATTAAATTTCTCGATTAAATTTAACATACAAAGATAAAACATTTTAGAGCTATATTACTTTTATCTTCAAAAATTATAATATTGAATTATTTATCCAACAACTTTTAAATGTTCAACTTTATTTTATCAGAATCATTTGAATATATTTATCTAAATTGGATACCTTTAGTCTCTCAAGAGAGTCAGATTCTTGACGGAAACGTAGTTGTAATCTGATTGAGGTGAAGAGATCACAGCGACCGCAATTTAACGGATTTACATAAAACCGATAACGGCTTCTCTTCGTATTCCCCCTAGGAGGAAGGACTGTCGGAAGTACAATCGCACTTGGAAGACTCAACGTGCGAAAAGCTTTTAAAATCTACTCTCGAGGAACTGAGCGCTAATTGTAACCGGTATGTTAGTATTAGCAAGTCTAGCGTGACCGGTCCGGGCGTCGGAAAAACGAAACTGGACAAGGAGCGTGCGAAACTGTGCCAGCGGGAAGTGGAGAATATCGGGATTTTGTCGCGCAACCTTAAGGCCGTCGTGACTAAAAGCAGCTTCAAGGAAAGACTGAAGACAGCCCACAGCTATTTGCAGAAATTAAAGTTTCTTGTCGAAGATGTCAGTAGTTGTTTTTCTCGAACGCTTTTGTTGATGCCGTCGTATATGTATGCTTTATAAAACGAAATTGCTTGATCCCTCTTACAGCCGCAAGACTCTTTGCCGGACGTGTTCATCTGGGTGATCAGCTCCGGAAGACGAGTGGCGTACCAGAGAATACCGGGTCGCGAACTGATTTACTCGGTGGTCGACGAGGAATGCGGCCGACATTGCGCCAAGGTGCAGACTATGTTCCTCAAAGTAAGTAAACTGAACATATGCATCGGCTCTTTGCATGTGTGTCTTTTATATAGTTTAATGTATGTATGAGATTTGTCAAAATTTTTGTGGCACAAAAATATAATTTTTAACTTGTCACGTCACTTTCATCTACGTTTAAATCTCTCTGCAAAACGTAAGAAATATCTATATGCAATTCGTGTCTCTCGCAATTACTACTGTACTATTTATATTTTTTTATGTTGCGGTATATAACTTGAGGAAATTTAGAGCGCCTAAAGTTAAAATAAAAGAACATAACATTAAACTTTAAAGAAAAAAATGTTAGCATCTAATATTATGCAATTCTCGGGTCTTAAATGGAATCTACGTATAGCTTCCAGGCAAAAAGAGATTCGGACCCTCGGGCTGGGCGATCCAAACGAAATTGCAGATCTACATGTGGCTAGGGATACTGAAGCACAAGAAGTACTTCATCCAAGGTTTACCGAAAGGATACGAGGTCAGCCACGAGTTGAGGAACGTGGACAGACCTCGCGCTTTGCCGCCCACTGTAATTCACTATGTCCAGAAGCACGTACGTATTTATTCGATCCGACATAGTTCGCCAAAATATATAAATGCATATTTCTGATGTTATTCTAAATCGATTGTTAGAAATTTCAATTGAGGGCCCACATGTACCAAGCGAGGTCGCTGATCGGCAGTGATGCGTCTGGCCTCTCGGACCCATTTGCGAGGGTGATCTGCGGTGAGTTTTGCAAGTGCACTCAGGTGATCGACGAAACCCTCAGTCCAACGTGGGACGAGTTGCTGCTGTTCGATGACATCTTAATCTACGGCACCGCCGAGGAGATCAAGAAGGAACCACCCTCCATCGTCATCGAGTTATTTGATCAGGATAAAGTGGTAAGTCAAATCTTTATTTAATCACATCGTTATTTTTTTTGTTTCTACAGACAATTTCTGTGTATTACTTTTAAAACTTTACTTTAAAATTTATCAATTTGTTAAAAATCTATATCTAATACTTGAAACAACAATCAGCAGATTTTCTTAATGCATGGCTATTTTATGTGCAATTAATGCCCGAAATTACTCAAAAATATTCAACTTGTAAATTGGTGAAAAATATGTATTTAATTTTATCTCAAGTTCAGATTTAATTTAATTAGAATTATAATGACACACGCGTAAAACGTTACTAGGAAGAATGATCGCTTTTACGATTTCGTAATCATTCTTTTTACAGAGTCATATTGTAGCTATGGACATAACACTGCATGAGGGCTCTGCTTTGACAGTTTGTATAAAACATATTGACATTTATACGATGCCAGATATAACACGACGCACGTCACACGAAACCCGCACCGGAAATACACATAACGTACATTCGGCATGGCACTCGTTATATATATATGTATATGTGTTAGGATATAGATAAAGCAGCAAACTTGTGCAATATCAGAATTCGCGTGCCTCGAAATTTCGAAGGCTGCAAGTTTCCAAGTCGTGAAATTACTGCGATAGTCAACGAAGAGTTACATATCTACCCACACAACCGCACAACCGCAAATTACTTTTACATAGGACTTGGTTCCCTTTACCTTACTCAGTTTCATGCTATTGTGGTAAATAGATACATCTCTATATTTTCCATTGTGAAGTATGTCCAGGCGAGTTTATGTCATTATTCTACGAAAAAGAAACATATATACCGACAAGAATTCTCTAATAGTAACATCAATTTCGAAAGAATATGTAAAAATGTTTATCTATTTAAATAGATTAAATTAAAAATTGTTAAAAAAATTTATATTTATAATTTTATTATTGTTTCTTGTTAACATCTAAATTTACAATAATCCTTTTCTTAAATAACTACTTATCTAATATAAAAAAATTTTTAATATTCTATATATCACATTATTTAAATTATATTATAAACATATGTGTACCGTTAATTAATATGTAATTATTTGTAAAAATTGATTGTTTGCTATAAACATTAAATTTGAAAATAAAACAATTCGAATACTTTGACGATTTTAATATATATTCTTGTCTTAATTAGTTCAGACTGCAGAAATTACATAATATATTCGTTCCCTCTCTTACAAATCCCAGATTTCACTTTGCACTTCTTCACAGTGCTCATGAATATATTTTAATAGTAAGTAAATTTAAATCTGTTAATTTAGATGATAAATGTTTCCCTTCTCACAGTTTCCTCGCATCTCCGTAGCCACACGGTCGATCAATAACATTTCTGTTCGAACACATCGAAATGTCTTTTTACGATTTCAGGGAAAATCGGAGTACATCGGTCGGGCGATTGCGCGACCTCACGTCAAACTCGCCTCCGAGTCTTACACTCCTCCACAATATCCACCGTCCTTAGAATGGTACGATGTTACAAGAGGAGCTTCGAGAGCTGGCGAGCTTCTGGCAGTCTTCGAATTGTTGGAATATCCCTCTACCAAGGATTATGGATTTCCTACTTTGCCAGATCCCAAAGATTCCAGCTGCGGATCTCAGGCTCCGGGTTCCGGACAGGATCAAGGCCCGATTCTGCCTGTACCCGTGGGAATTCGACCTACTTTATCGAAATACCGGTAACGTTATTGGTGTTTCGTTGTCGTTGATTAAAAAATTTCTTGTATTTTTTTAAGTACAAAGTCTTCGAATAGAATTTTTAGAAAGATTTTGTTTATTAATAATTAAGATTATATATATATTTTTTTAAATACAATCGACGATATGTATAGTTAATTAATCCAGTATTCGGCTTTTATTCGAAGAATAACATTTCTATATTTTTGTTATAAATTATTTTTATGTAACTATGAACAGTTTAACAGTACTAAAGAATTTTAAAGGCTCAATTTTTACAGTTTGTTAGAACTTTTGCTAACAGTTTTTATAATATAACTACGCATTATTTAAATAAAGAAGAAAGACATGTTTAATTTAGGAATATATATATAGGAACAAGTAAATACGTCACAAACGAATAAATTGATTGCTACAACACTTTTAAGTAATTAATAGCATTGGCTTTCAGAATCGAGGTGCTCTTTTGGGGTTTGCGGGATCTGAAGAGAATTCATCTCCTAACTGTCGACAAGCCCCGCGTGGACGTTGAATGCGCCGGTCACATTCTCTATTCGTCTGTCATAGCAAACGCAAAGAAAAACCCGAATTTCAACACGCCGATCAAATTTCTAGAATTGGAGCTTCCTGAACAGGAGCTTTATCGCCCGCCATTGACCATAAGAGCAGTGGACTGTCGGAGTTTTGGTAGATACACCCTCGTCGGTACTCACACCATCAATTCAATTCACAAGTACATGTACTACCCTTTAACTAAAAGGGCGAAAGACGCTCAAGAGAGGAAGAAGAGTTTGTATCAGTTACAGTGCACAGGTAATTACATAATCAATCGATTAATTGCGAAACACTTTGAAACTGTTATATAACTGCGATATAAATAGAATTTTACAAATAGAATAAATAGCGAGGGTAATACAATATAGTTAAATATAACCTAAATAAATTTTATTGGAATAATAATATGATTCTGTTAATTAAAGAACATGACGAATAATTATTTTAATTATGAGTCAAGAAAATAATATCTTACTCTATAATAAACAGCATTGCTTATTATAACAATTTATTTAGATGTTAACTGCAAAAAATTAAATTAATAATAAAGCTAAAAAATAACGTGCTATTTGCAGATTTAGCGTTTTAATTCCCAGCGTTTTAATTTCAAAACTTTATATTTATTGCAGCTCTCGATCCATCTAAATCGAAATTCCAACAAACGTCATTACTCGAATCGATGACTGATTTGGAAGCTAACAATGGTGATACCATTATCACTCTTGGATTCGAGTTGGGATGTGGTCCTACGAAGAAAGATAAAACGGAACAAAACTTACGTAGGAAGCAGAGCTTAGCTAATGACAACAATATAGGTGTGTTCGTAAAAACTGCGTTTAATTTCATACCATTAAGAAAAAAATTAGAAATTGTTAATAAATAAACCTATTATCAATTTGTATTTTTATATCAACACTTTTTGTGATCTCTTTAATTATCTAAATTTTAAATAATATACGATATATAAAGCAGATCTTTGAAACGTCGCATTTTTAGGCGATTTAGGCGCGTTAGAGGACGGAGATGGCTGCCAGGACTGGTGGACAAAGTACTTTGCCTCTGTAGAAGCGATGATTGAGGAGAACAAAGAACTGCGCAAGGAAAAATCCATATTCCAAAACCAGCCAAACGGAACGCTACCAATGCTCCTAGACGAAGCTGTTACGCAAAGTCAGTTGACCGCCTCGGGCGACAAGAATCCCGGAACTAATCCTACAAAGAGGCTGTTTGGTTTGAAGTCACCGACAAACGCGGTGAAGTTCGTCTCGAGGCTCAGCCCGAAGCACACCCAACACAAGTATAACAAGGCTGCTCTACTGAAGGTGTATCCCGGAGAGTTGGAGGCGCAACCCGAGTTCGAGCAATTCAAGGAATGGTTGCACACTTTCGAGCTGTATCGAGGCAAGAAGACCGGCGACGAGACCGAGGACGAGTCAAGGATCGTCGGCAGCTTCAAGGGCGCATTGAAGGTCTACAAGTGGCCGCTGCCCAAGGATCTGCTGGATCACACCGTGATGGGTTTCGATCCGCAATACGGATTCTTCCAGGGTGTCCCGTCGAACGAGCCTATTCACGTTCTGGTACGGGTGTACATCGTCAAAGCTAACGACCTTCATCCCTGCGATCTTAATGGGAAAGCAGATCCCTATGTGGTCTTACAATTGGGAAGCAAGAGGATTAGTGATAAAGAGCATTATGTGTCGAAACAACTGAATCCCGTCTTCGGAAAGTATGTATTTTGTGTGCATCGCAGCAATAAACATATAATTTTTCGCTATTAGAGGGTTCCTGGCAGTACGGAGACTGGATTTAAATTTTCGGGAAAGTTAATATGTTTCTATAATTGGAATTTTGAATCTCATTAAATTATGTATTTGCTGTTTTTCATATAGCGAATTAAAAATTGTATTTTCGTCTCTTAACATCATGTTATTTCTTATATTTAAATAAAATTGTTTAAAAGAATGCTTTTTTAAAAGTGAGTCTCGGTTTATAAAATATAAATTTCGCAAAGGTTTTTATTACTCTTTTTATTTTATTTTGTATGTCTTCTTAAAAGCTTTATTCTTAAAATTTAAAGCGTCGTTGTTTCTCTGCACTTTGACTAATTGCAAATTTGCGTTCAAGATGTTTCGAGATTGAGGCAACATTTCCGCAGGATTCTCTGCTTACCGTACAAGTCCTAGATTGGGACTTGGTCGGAACAGACGATATGATCGGCGAGACCAAGATCGATCTGGAAAATCGCTTCTACAGCAGACACCGAGCTACGTGCGGATTCGCGAAGAAATACGACGAGTGAGTTTGTATATAATGAATAGCATTATATTATTTCGCGCACGGTTCAAATAAGACCCTTTCGAGTAATGAAACAAATCGTGTCACGCAATTCAGTAATCTAACAGCAGAGCTCTTATCACATCAGCAATAACCATTTATTTAAAACTAGCGAATCCACGAAGGACTTTTAACGAGGACTAATGACTACTTTTTCTTCGTAATCTCTTTCGTCTAACACGCATTTACGCTCAGATCATTTTCTTAAGAGCGTCCTATAATTTTCTACTTGCCATAATTTTGTATATATTCTTTTCACAGTAATATATATTATTAGATTTTAAATTGTGAAAAGCAACCTATTTTATGCCTTGAAAAGTAACATATGGAACCTTTTAGACTTTAACATATATGAAAGAGATAAGAGAACCAAATGCGAAAACGTAAATAAATTTCGATGCACGAGATTGATTAAACGTTATTTCTGTTCCAGATCTGGATATAATACATGGAGAGATGCGATGAAACCGACTCAGATACTCTCGAAGCTATGCAAAGATGGTAAAATCGATGGGCCAGTGTATTCTCACGGACGCGTTACAATCGGCAGAAAAACCTTCTCCCTCTCGAACGAGGAGATGGAATATTATGTGCATACGAAGGGTATGTGAAAAGATTGAAATTGAAGAAGAAATCAATATTTCTACGTTTGAATATATAAATTATACATATATGTATATAGTTTTAATATATACGTATATATATGTATATAGTTTTAATATATACGTATTTTGATTTATTATATATCTCGTATACAAATATTATTTAGGAATAATTTCATTAAAATTTATCTAATTACAAAAGTTCGAAAATTAATCATTAATCATATAAAGAAAAAATATACGCATACACGAAAGTAGACACACATAAGTAGATAAATTACATAATAAATGATATGTAATAATCTGATATAATGTATTACAATTTGATTTGCGCAGCTTTTAAATATGCATCGTTGATATAGATGCCTTATCACATAAAAGATTACCGTTTTAGGAATGGAAGAACATCTCGCCTTAGCCGTTCTTCACCAATGGAACGCCTTTCCTCGAATAGGCTGTGCCCTGGTACCCGAACACGTGGAGACCCGACCGCTCTATAATCCTGAGAAACCCGGAATCGAGCAGGGTAAATTGGAAATGTGGGTGGACATGTTTCCAATGGACATGCCCTCGCCCGGACCGTCCATCGATATTTCACCGAGAAAGCCCAAGAGTTATGAATTGAGAGTTATCATATGGAATACAGACGACGTCGTCCTGGAAGACGACGCTTTCTTCACCGGCGAAAAGATGAGCGACATTTATGTAAAAGGGTAAATATAAACTCCTAAAAAAAATTAATTTTTCATCGATATTGTATACATATGCAAATTAATTTCCAAAAGCATTAGTAACTTTAATTACTATTAATGATAATGAATAAAAAATGATGGAGAGTTTCTTTCAAGTATAAAATATTTTTATCTCTTAAATATAAAATATTTTTATGTTGTATTATATAGTTTCACTTTTCAAGATTTGAATAGATACTATTAAAATATAATCATTGTGTATATCACTTTAACATTGCTTAACAGATGGCTAAAGGGACCGGAGGACTGTCAGTCCACCGATATTCATTATCGGTCATTGACCGGCGAAGGAAACTTTAACTGGCGCTTCATATTTCCATTCGATTATCTAGTAGCGGAAGAGAAGATCGTTATCAATCGTAAAGAAAGCTTATTTAGCTGGGACGAGACCGAATGTAAAATACCAGCACGCCTAGAATTGCAGGTAATGTTGAACATGCAGCCGATGCATTTCGATCTCGTTCCGATAGATAATATATAAGGATGACGCTGTTTGCAGGTCTGGGATGCAGATCATTTCTCCGCAGATGATTTCTTGGGCGCGATAACTCTCGATCTCAATCGATTTCCCCGAGGAGCGAAAAATAGTAAGCTCTGCTCATTAGGCATGTTAAAGACGGACGGCTCCGTGCCAATGGTTAACATCTTCAAGCAGAAACGTATAAAAGCATGGTGGCCGTTTTACGTGAAGAAAGAGAATGAAGACATGGAGCTAACGGTAAAATATCACTACATATAAATATAAAATTTTTAATACATATACATATATAATATGTATCTAGTATACTATTATAACAAAAATAGGAGTCTCGTAATTTTTTAAATTAAGCACGTTAAACTTATTATATTAGATTTTATATATTAAATTAATTATATTTTGTCAGAAAATTATGCTTTATTATTTCGTACAGGGCAAGGTCGAAGCTGAGATACATTTGCTCACGAAAGAGGAGGCCGAGAAAAATCCTGCTGGTTTTTGTAGAAACGAACCCGATCCACTGGACAAGCCAAAGTGAGTATAATAAGATATAGCAATATCAATTTTTTCTCTTGTTATGTTTAATCTACCTTTAATTTCTATATTCTTATTTTTTGTTTTGCAGTCGACCAGATGCATCTTTCATGTGGTTTCTCAATCCACTGAAGTCCATCAAGTACATAGTTTGGCATAATTATAAATGGGCTATTCTGAAAGCTATAATTGCGATCGGATTGATCATACTTTTGCTCTTATTCTTTTATGCAATACCAGGTTACTCCGTAAAGAAGATCTTGGGAGCTTAAAATGCTGTTCGTCGCAATGTATAATTGTTGTTTTAGAAAACAGTTTGACAATTTAAATATATAATCGTAATGCTACATTGTTACGTTACAAAATCGTACAAAATCGACGTAAATTAGCATTTTACTGAATTAATTTATCTAATTTGTCCATAATATATTGGCTTATAAAGATTAGAATTTTTTTATAGTGACAAAATAGAAATTAGTCCGTAAATGGATCTCAGTAGAATTAAAGAATATATACAAGGTGTTTCTGAGCAACTTATATAAAAAGCATAATTGAGAAATACCTTGTATAAAAGTACCAAAGCAAATGAAATATTTTTCGAGGAAACAGAAGTCGTTTATCTTGCACAATTTCGTATTGATTAGACGAATGTTAGGGCACTAGAGATTGTTTCTTACGTACAGATATTATCATAGATGATTTTTTATGAAATGCTTTGTCCCTGAAATAATCTTAATAATATAGCTTTCTTTTATAATTATGCAATCAGTTTATAGTGGACCAAAGTAACAAAGTAACCAAAATAATTGCAATTGTAAATAACTCATGCACGCAGTGACCTTAAAAAATTATGAAAATGAGAAAAATATTAGCAACAGAGTAGTGGCTTGTGTACAAAGTAATCTATTTTCACTCGTAAAATATTCTGTGTCATAGTGACAATTGTGTTTCGCGGGCGAACACACAGAAAAATCACTCGACTAGTTCCCATTATCATCAGGTTGCTCATTATATATTAAGAAAAAAATATGTGTGTAAAAAAGGAGTAAATAAAAATTACCCGAGTAAGATGCGATATAATAAACTATTTTATTATTCCGCAGATAACAATGAAAACTTATTAGGTGCAAGCGGTACATCGTTTTCCTCGTTTGACGATTCCGTTGACTCATTCACTGCATCATTTGCTGCACTTCCAGAAGATTGCGTCAGTCTTTCATCGTCACTTTCTTCACCTTCAGAAGACATATTTTCAGTAGGTGTACTGAAATGATCCCCTTTATTCCTAGCTTGAATCCATTTTACAGTCTCAACATCTGCGTGATTTTCCCATTTTTCTACAAAAATATTATTTACATTGTTTTTTTATATTTCAAATATAATTTATATTTATACTTTGTTTCAAATATTTATGTTCTCTAATATATGAAGGGATAAAAGCCATAGCGGTGTAAGTCAAATTTTCTAAAATATTGACTCGTGTGCAATCTATACAATATATAAATTGCGTCTATGTATATACAAGTCAATATTTTAAAAAATTTGACTTACACCACTATGGCTTTTATCCCTCCATATAATTTAAGAATTATATTTTAAATATAGTTTTCCAAATGATTTTTTTCATCCAAAAATAATAAAATTTTCGTCTAATCAGAGAGAATGAAATAATACTTTTATCAATGGTCCAATTCGGCGGGTATATGTACAAACAAATTTTTCCTTCTAATGTCATTCGTAGCAACGAATTTGCCGCTCTATATGTATCCAATCTAGCCGCTCGCGCCGTCTTGAAATCCTTTTTGATAGCCCATGCGTCGCAGATATCCATAGCGGACCACGTGTCATCATTCTCTGGATGTGGAAGTTTTAACAGTTTTGGTAGATTCACTCTTTCGGCCAAAAATTGTATGACAGTATACGGTTCCCTAACTTGAGCGATCGGGAATGAACCCATTAGTATCTGTAACTCTTTGGGTACAGTCGAGGGAAAGACCAAACCAGGACAATCACACAGACACACAGTCTTTGTGAGATAAATAGTCTGAAAGTGCTTAGTGTGACCAGGAGTGCGAGACACACTCACGACTTTCTTACCTGTGAAATAAATATTAAATAAATATATTATATATTAATGACTCAAACTCTCAAATGACTCTAATGTTAAGTATAAAATATAAATATTTGAAAAAATGATATCGTAATACAGTTGTGTAATGGAATGGTCTTGCTTACCCATCAACGCATTCATCAAAGAAGACTTTCCAACATTCGGCGTTCCAATACACCCAATGGTCAAAACTCCATTTTTGTATTTTTCATGTTCAAAATAAGTGGTATCCTCCTTTTCTATTGTCACGTTATCCTTGTGATTTATGTCATCTAAATCGTATTCCAAGTGCATCTCCTCCTGAATTTTCTCATACCAGGTACTTAGGTCGACTTTATCCCCGACAATATCTTTGCAAGCTTCCAGCAATTTCTGCGCCCCTTCCGCGGCCATTCTCAATTTTCCTTTACGAGTTCTTTTCTTTAAACCTTCCTCGTTATTCGTATTATTACGGAGATTGTAAGTGGGATACGATGTAAACATTAGAATGTATAATTTTGGATATTGATTGTGAAAATACTCTTTCCAAGCCACTACCAACGCTGGAGGTGCTAGATCGACTTTGTTTAACACCAAAATCATATCTTTCTTCAGTTTCTTCGTCACATAATCGTACAAATACGGAGGGAACATCAGAACGGGATATCTGATGTCAACGATAATCAGTAGGACGTCTGACATCTCTAGAACTCTCCACAATTGTCGCCAGGTTTCTAAATTCAATTCGAAGTAGCTCAAGCTAGCTAATTCCTCCATGCTATTTAAGTATTCCTAGATACAAAGAATTGTTCGTCAGCAAAGCACGTTCGATATAAAGCTAAGATTTTGTTTAGAGCCAGGTCTCAACTACATACTGTGAAATATCTCTGTTCTCTTATCTCCAATTGCTCCTTTGTCATACTGAAATCCCATGGAGGTCGCTTTGGCATGTCAATCCCAGGTGGAAAATAATTATCGGAAATCTCTTGATCCTTAAGACTCGCAGGTTCGATACTTTTAAAAGCTCGTTCCTTGCGCTTTCGCAATTTCTCGTTGGACTCCTGAAAGAATTGTAGTGCGTATCTATTCCTTGAAGATTTGCTATCTTTTGGTTGTTCGTTTATCTTCATCACTTGTCTCTTATGTTCAACATTGCTCTCATTGCTGCAGCTTTCCTCGTCATCTGAATTTACTGTTGACAAACATATATACTATTACAGTATAAATCTTTTATAAATAACAAATTAGTAATAAAACAATAAAATTGCAATTATATCAATATTTTAGAAATAATGCTAAGCTGTGTGAGGCACCAAATGCTTAAATAAAATTTTATTAATTAACCCTGCAACTGCATATTCTTTTTCAGCATTCACAACGTATATGTGAGTCGTTTGCATCCACGGCATATTAAACAACCCAAAACTTTACCAAAAATTCCGAAAAAATTAATGTGTTCCTTGAGATCTTAACTATAAGTTTAAACTATAAGTTCATCTAAACTATAAGTTTAAACGAACGCGCTAGGTAAACAAACCTCTGGAAAATATCACATAGTCAAAATGCCGAGGACCCACATGTACGGTTGCAGAGTTAAATTAAGTAACTTTTATATTAAACGCATTGATACGTACCAACCAAGGTTCGTTGCCGCTGCTTTTTAGCCTGCATCTGCTGCCTTTTGGCTTTTCCGCTAAACGGAGTTTTTCGCCTTCCTTGAGGCATGTTTCCGCAGTTCCAATCCCGTTACTTCTTTCAACCACTTATCACAGATTTCAAGTGTCGTACGAAAATCGTAAATTATTTATAAAGATTACGATCTTTAATTTCACGAGACGAGAATTTGCATGATGCCGAACAGCTGATCGTTTAACCACTTTAACCATCGAGACTGTTCCAGGTTCCAGACTATTCTGGACGAGACCGCGCGCACAAGTGTTTGTCGAACGAAATTAACCGGACGAAGTGAAACGGCGTGAAACGTGAGAAATTAGGAAACTTGAAGAAATCGTGACGAGATCATCGCGCTGAACAACGTTGCACGAAATTGTGTTGCACAAACAGTGCTGTTTGCTGTTACTGCTGTTAGGTTAGGACGTTAGGTTCGTTAAATCGTGATACGATATATGCCCGCCATCATTTAACGCGAGATGTCGCTAGTCGCTACTTCGTCCGTTTCGTGCGACTTCGGACAGCGAAGTGAGCCGAGCACTGAGCGGTGTAAAGTAAACATCTATTATAATATAAGTAAACTGCACTTTATAAATGTAAATAATGAATTAAATTTATATTAATTTTTACACTTATATTTATAGATAATTTATACCTTTTATACATAAATATGACAATAATCTATAAAATTAATAATAATCTTCGGAAAACTCATTATCCGCTAAAAGTTGTAAGAAATTAATACTTTTGAACGAAAAATATACGTAATATAAATATACATTGTCCTAAGATGTAAAAAATGATAATGGTGTGTTACGTTTTCCTAAGATTCTAAGATGTAAAAAATATAAAAACTAACTGAAATGTAAAAAATAAAAAAAATGTTACAAGAAAAATGGACATATGTAATCATTATTATTTCTTTGCAGGAAAATACACAGAATTATAAAAATTTCCTTAATAAACATTTGAAATACGAAAAAATAGCACTTACTGGAAAAAATTATAATAAGAACTATAAATTAACGTTATATTAATTTTGCACAAAATAAACGAAAAATTTTGTGTAAAAAGTCAATACATATTAAATTCATTTGTAATATATCCTTCCTTTTGTGTTGTGTTATATATGTAAGGTGAATAATTACTCGTCATTAATGTCGGATTGGTCTCTCTTTTGTTTGCGTAATGCTCGTTGACAAATTTCTATCCGTAACATTGCAGCCCATTGATCTTAAATAACACAATGATGAAACAAGAAAAAATTAGCAGGTGTTTAAAAGAAAGTTATGTACACTAAAAAATCTATGTAGATAAATCATCATTCTTAGATTTAAATAGTCATCAAATTTCATCAATGCATAATTCAATATTCGTATTATAGTAATTAGTTTTAAGGTCTCGTTATACGTTAAGATAATTTCTCAAATTTATTGTTATTGTAGTCAATAATTAAATGAATTCTAATTGTTTATTGTTATTGTTGTGTAGAGAAACATAATGCTGTGTAAAATAAATTGCATTATATAATATTAAAAGCAAATTAAATAATTACTCACAGCACTTTTTTGTTTTCTTTGTTAATTTTCTTTAACAATTTAATGTACACTATTGTAACATTTTAAATGCTATTATAATTAAATAATGTCTATCGCGGATTTTAATTCCGTAATGTCAAGACTTCTTACAATTTTATTTAACTGTTGATTGTTTTATTATTAAATTATTTAATAACCCTTGGTATTTTAATAAGTTGTTGAATGTGTACTTACTCATTTTGATTCAGAACTTTTTGCATTTCTATGTACTTTCATATGATTACGTAAATTGCGATTGGTTAAAAAATAACAGTATTGTTTATTACATTTTTTACATTTTGCTTTACTGTTTTCTAACTCCGTATAATGAGTCCTTAGCTCGTCAGGTAGTGGGCGATTGAAAGTTATATTATGTTTGCTCTTTAAGTGCGATCTTAAGAATTCTAGAATAGAATGTTGGCTAGAGGTTGGCTGAACTTCTTTATTTTTACATTTCTCATCCTTGCACATTCTTTGCAAAGGTCCTATTTTCTCGAAATAATCCCATTCATCGCCATAGTTATATAGCCGTGTCCTGTAATTCCATTGTAACCGTTCTGTATTATAAAGTGTCTGATAGTGATACAGAAATTGTTTGCAAAAATTCTTTCAAGCAAAGTGTGGTTTATTAGAAATATATAATTTGAATTTGTCTAACTAACAGATCATACAGCTGTCTCTTTCTTTATTCCATCAATGATATTAAACTTATGCTGAAACTCACTCAGCGCTTACGCATAACAATTTAAAATAGTGAAGTCAGGTAGTCAAAAAGTAAAAATAAAAATGGTCGAACCTTTGAAACGTTATCTCCTATAAAATTATATTTTTCGACTTGTATGTATTCTTTTCTTTTAAAGAAAAGAATATATTTAGATATAATTAGAAATGTATAGATATGATTTTCAAGAGACACGCCGGTAATGTCTCACGCCAAGTTTATTGGAATGATGCTGTGCGGAACTGCGAGAAGACGCCTATGGAAGACGCACATGTACTTGGAGTTTCTTTTTTACTTTTATTAAAAAGTTAATTTTGCACGGTTATATTTTATGTAGCACATTTAAGCATGTTAGAAATGCGTATAATATAAAATATACAAAGAAGATATATTTAAAATGTGCTAGCATGCATGTTTAAAATAAGATATAATAATCTAAATTATACAGCTCGGAAAAGAAAGAGATTGTATGTCTGCGCTCTTCTATCTACTCGGCCCGAAGCTGGCCGAAGTGTCGGCGTCATTAATGCCTTCTCACCTTAGAACGTATAATATACATGTTCTAAGCTTCTCACCCATAGACTTATTGTTAGGGCCATGGCACATAGAAAAACTTAAGCAGTAAGCAAATTGACCAATGGCTATCTTAAGTTTTCGAGAATTACTTAATTGACTGTCATTGATTAATTTGCTTACTGCTTAAATTTTTCTAAATATGTCACTGCTTATATACATATATGATATACAACCATGGACCACAGACTTGCCTACGTTTCATATCTTCACAATACCTCGTTGTACAGTGAAACGCGCTGCCATCGCTTAAATGGCAATAAAGTGAGATCGCGATGATACAAGATGAGGAAAGAGAGAGACACACAGTAAGTCATTCGTCGCTGTTTTACCAACTCTTCGGCAATCCAAACGACAAGTATAATACTCAGGTCAACCCAATGAACAGAATGTCTCAAATCGAGATATATAACGTCTTAAAGACGTCATTAAGACGTTGTCTGGAAACTTAACTGCTCCATAATCCGTTTGGATTGCCGAGAAGTTGGTAAAACAGCGACGAACGAATTGTATTCTGTGTTTCTCTCTTCCCTCATCTTTTACTATCGGAATCTTACTTCATATTGCGATTGTCTGCCATTTAGGCGATGGCGCGGGCGGCGCGTTTCATGTCCATTACGGTCCATTAAATTACACAAAAGCCGACTGGCAGTCTATGGTTATATAGTAAAAAACATGTCTATGGTCAGGTTCATCCAGGTTGTCTCTCCCTTTCTGTCGCCGCGCGCCAATCATATTCAACCGCGCTAAGGGCATAAGGTACTACCAGTTGGACGTCTCCCCACCCTTCCTCCGGCCGCGCTGCCCTTGGCAACTCATTTACTCATGTCGTCGTAAGCAACCAAAGCAACTTCTTGTCGTCTCCTCTCGCTCCGAATTGCTCCGAACTCCGAGCTACAGCTATTATACGCTTCTGTTGGCGTATGATGATGCGCGACGCTGACATCGTAACGGAGTCAACCAGAATGGACTGGGATAAAGTCATCGATACCTTGAACTGCAAGCTGGAGCTCTCCCGACTTAACGGCGAGATAAAGGGCATGAAATGTGAAAAGGATCTAATATCTCGTTTGTTGCGCAATCCGGAGCTCGTGTGAGTACGATCGTGTAGGCAATGTGTCTATCTCAGGGAGAGCTCTTCAT